TGTGAGAATAAAATACAAGCTGCTAAAATGAAAACCTACACAAAATTATGTTGGAGCATTTTACAAACCTGTATTTTCATTCGCAAATATGATGAAAGGCCTCAGAACAGCTTAAACTGACACTAGAAGAAAGTGTCTAAGAAGAAATCTCACTGAATGAAAGAAAGGAATGTCCAAAAACACCAGGTCAGAAGGACTAAGAGCTAGACTTAAGGAGCCCTGCACACCTGTCCCAAGCTCTGTCGCTCTAAATAAGATAAGACAATCCAGGAGTCTGGCCGGCTCAACTCTGCTCCCACGCCCTTCCCTACCTGGGAGAGGGTTGCGGGAAAGGGCACCTTGTCTTACAGCCCAAAGACTGCATTCAGCTGGCTCTCAAGAGTAGATGCTGGGAAGTGCAGAAACAGAGACCTCCACTACACAAACCACATTCTTAACTCTGGTCCCCTTCCTCTTCTGGCCATTAACTACCAGGTATAAATGGTGTACTTGGGTTCACACTGAGGAGCTCTCAAGGGATAAAACTACAAGACCACTAGATGTTGAAAGAAAGAAACGAGAAAAATATGCTCACTTAATTCCAAAGCACATACACATGCACACATGCCCACAGACACACACACACTCATACACACAACCCCTCCCCCTCACATAACTAAATGCTAAGAAAAAGCAAGCCGCCACACAAACAGAACAGGTGTTCATGAAAGAACACATTGGAAAGTATTTTGAAATCAAATAGATTGAGACCATTATGGTTGAGACGGTTAAGCTGGTAATCCCAGCACTTGGTTGTAGAAGTAACCAACCGTCTTACTGAATAAGAAACACAGAGCCAATGTAAAGATAAAAGCCCAAGAGGTCAGAGCTAAGAGCCTTACCGTTCCTGCTTCAGCGATCCTCTTCAGCCAAGAGAGACCTACTTCCTGTGTGTTTGTCTTTATATAGACTTTCTGTTCTGCCTTCTCATTGGTTGTAAACCCAACCACATGACTGCCTTGTCACTGCCTGTCTGTACAGACCTCCAGGTCTTCTATGGTTGGTATTGAGATTAAAGGCGCGTGTCTCCAACGCTGGCTGTATCCTTGACCACACAGAGATCTACCTAGCTCTGCCTACCAAGTGCTGGGATTAAAGGCGTGCACCACGAACGCCCAGCTCTGCTATGGCTTGCTATTAGCTCTGACCCCCAGGCAACTGTATTTATTAACATACAAATAAAATCACATTTCAGTACAAATAAAATATTACCATATTTGGTGGGTTGAGACAGAAAAAAAAAATCAGGAATGAGGCCAACCTAGGCTAATTAGTGAGTTTTAGGCTGTCCTGAACCAAAAGCAAAATTCTGTCTCTAAACAAGTAAAATAATTTTAAATTGAGAGTATTCATAGAAAAATGGAAGTTATACTTCTATTTAACAACTAAAGCATAATCTAAAAAGGGATAAGAGTGAAGTAAGATCAGGTGTACATAAGTGAGAATCAGTTGGAAAATTAGAAAAGAAAAATATGGTTTAATACTTAAGATGTAATAAACATATTAATCTACACATAGTAACCATCAGTAAGGAAATTGGAACACCCCCAAATGCAGCACAGATGTGCACTGCTCACTGATTTCCACCTGTTCTGAACTCTTGTGACAAGAGTCTTTACCAGGTTTCAGCAAGGAGGGGGCAGGTCAGGGAGATGGGGTGAAAAGTAGGGGGATGCATAAAATCAAGGCTATCTGATAAGGCCTCAAGGAAACCTGTTACTTTGTAAGCTAATTAAAAAAAAAAAAAAGTCCAGCATGGTGGTGGCCCACACCTTTAGTCCTATTACTCAGGAGGCAGAGGCAGGCAGATCTCTGAGTTCCAGGACAGCCAGGGCTACACAGAGAAACCCTGTCTCAAGAATCAAAAACCAGACCAAAGCAAACCCTTTCAGTGGTAAGCTGTGTGGGTGATAAACGCCCAGAAGCCCCAGGTTATTAAATACCAACTGCAGTAAACCTGGCCCTGTAAGTAGCCTTTTCTGAAAACTCTTAAGTGTGGGGACAGGTGGGAGACATGCTCACAGGTCAAGGGTGAGTAGGCTGCACACATTCAACTGTAGTCAGCATTACATAACAAATGAAACTTACTCACTCCTTCATCACATTACAACTAAGATGAAAGAAAAACCAGGACTATTTGCTAAACCTCCAAAAACACATCAAATTAATTCAACACCTCTTATTGGGGGCTGGTTCTCCCAAAAAAGGAGAAGAAACTGAGTTTTGTTTTGTTTAATTCTGGCAGTCATCTGTTGGTAGAGTTCAGCATGCAAACTGACATCCCCACTGACAGTCAGAACAAAAATCCAGGCTGCCTGTGAGTGCACTAGCTAATAAAATGTACAGGATAGTTCTTAAAACTAGAAAGGAGAACTCGCTTTAGTTATGACTAGGTACTTAGGAAATCCGAGACTAAATAGTATTCCTCTTTCCACCCACTCATGTCAGAGTACTCAAACTATTTTGACTAAATGAATCCATGAGTCAGCTACAGCTATGATCAATGAACAAAAATTAACTGCTCACCACTGAAACAGTTGATGAACAGAGGGAATTTGTTTAAAAGCCCATTTATGGGCCAGTGAGATTACTCAGATAATAAGACACCCATCAGCCTGATGGCCTGAGTTCAGTTCACAGAACCCACATGAGCACTGTGGCGTATGAACATGCCTGAATGCACACCCACATGCAAACACAAAATAAAATGTAATAAAAAAGCACTGTATTAAAAAAACCTCAGAGTTAAGATCTATCTAGGAATGAACTTTTAAGTGCACAAATGCAAAAAGCAAACAATAAATGCAAACAAACATTTTGAGTAAAGTGTTATAGTTAGAATGACTACTTTTAAAACATTAGTGTCGCATACATCCCGCCTCAATATTTAAATGTAGCAAATCAACACAACACTGTTTCAAATGCTGAGTGGCATGTGATAAGGTTATTCTCGTGTTATTAAATATATGGGAGAAAGTTAGCTGGAAACAACTGGGCAGCTGCCTTATCACATAATCACATGGGTTCAGCAAGAGAAAAGCCATGGCAGGGGATCAGGGTTAGAAGGTAGCTTAGAAAACCTCTGTTGAGGTGCCCTTCACTTAACTAAACAGAGACTGGACAGGTTACTCTGGGGAAGTCTGGGCTGCAAGGATAACCTGGGATGCCATTGAGCTTGCCTAAGCATTTCTGCATTAGTTCACATCTCACCCTGCTTTCCATCTGATGTAATAAGGAGAGATGATACAGTGACAGCTATGGGGGGAAAGGCAGGCAGAAGAGACAACGATTGTTCATCACGCCTAGCAAGCTGGACTGCACCACACAGGCACAACAAACTCTACTTTCCCAGACAATACTGCCTTCAGGAGGGAACTGTGTGCCTTGGTCTGCACTCAGCAGTGCTTGTACATAGTTCCAGGGAGCAATGCCAGAGAATCATCTTATAAAACTTTCCAGAAAGTATAAAAAAATTTAACATTAAACCTTTCCATGTAAAAACTGACATCAGATGGGCATAGTGATGCATGCCTTTGATCCCAGCACTCAGGAAGCAGAGGCAGTCAGATCTCTGAGTTAAAGGCCAGCCTGGTCTAGAGAGCAAGTTCCAGGACAGCCAGGGATACGCAGAGAAACCCTGTCTCAGAAAAACCAACAACAAAACAAACAAACAAAAAACCCAAATCAACAACAACAAAAAACCTGACATCAATAAGCTATCCCATAAGCTATACATAAGCCACTTCAAAATGTACATTCATAGCAAGAACATTTCATGCATGTGGAAATAAAAATAAGGTAAGTAGGATGAATGTCAACTGTGTGGGGGGATATTTTTATGGCACTCTAACAAATAAAGCTTGCCTAGAGATCAGAGAAGCAGAGCAGCCAGCCACTAGAAAGATTTCTTAGCTCCAGGAATCCTCAGACTGAAAGGGAGCTGAGCTCCTGTCTCCTCCTGCCTTATATTCCTCTCTGCCCAGCCATATCACTTCCTGTCTCTATCTCTCTAGTCCTGGGATCAAAGGCATAATATCCCAAGTGCTGGGATCAAAGCCATGTGCCACCACTGCCTGGTTGTTTCTTTTTTAGACTGGATCAATATTGTGTAGCCCAGGGTGGCCTTGAACTCCTGATCTTCCTGCTTCCTCCTCCCAAGTGCTGGGATTAAAGGTGTGAGCCACCACTGCCTGGCCTCTATGGTTAACTAGTGGCTAACCCTGCCCTAACCACTGTGTCCCTCCGGAATGTCCCAAGGCTCTCAGTAAGATCACTGGCAAACACAATAAACTATGGGTCCCTCCCTCTCAACAGTGCCAGCAGTGGAGAAGGTTAGATGGCACAGACAGTATGACGGCAAAGTGATTGGGAGACTTCCAAAGGACACCAGGGTGCAGGGCTGGTGCAGGGCTGTTCACAGGTACAGCGTGGCTGAATAGAGTGGAAAGGTAAGAGCTAGTGATATGGAGGCCTGGGTTAGCTCAGGTAAACAGTCTAATTATCCATTAACAGGAAGAGAAGCCAGGTTCTGTGGTATTGTCACCCCCAGCTCTTCTCTACAAACTAAACCCACGCTCCATATCAACTCTTTTCCTTCAACTCTCTGCTGCACCCCTTTGCTTCCCTTCTGCCCCGGAAACCATCATGGAGCCAGAAGTGGAAAGCCATGGGAAGGACCACAGAACAAAACTAGAAAAGCAAAGGGAGTACTCACCACATGGTGCGCAGGTCTACAGAAAAACAGTTCTGTTTCTGAGGGTACCAATTACGTGAAAGCGTTAAATATCCATTGACGTGGGAAAGGTTGTAGAAGCACCCTTGCAGAAGGCCATTATCTAAACTGTTCCATTAAACGTACGCTACAAATACAATGCCACAGGACTGCAGAACCCATCTTCCCACAGTGAAGAGCTGACCAACCCCATTGCTGCACCGTTAAAAACAAACCAGGAAACCAAAGGTGGTGGCGCACGACTTTAATAGCACTCAGGAGGCAGAGGCAGGCAGATGGCTCTGAGAGTTCAAAGCCAGCCTGGTTTACACAGTGAGTTCCAGGACAGCCAGGACTCCACAGGTCATCTCAAAAAAACAAAAAACAAAACCAAGGTACACTTTGTCATTTCAAATCTTAGGTTCTTGGCTCCTGTCAAAATCTGTCAATACATGAACAACTTGCCTCAGTAGGAACACACTGAGAAAGAGGAGTGAGCCAGTCTGTATGATCAGAAGGAAATTCCTATTTGTCAAAATACCATTATAAACCATTCTATAAAAGTAACACCTTCTTGAAATTTCATTTTTAAGATAAAGAAAAAAAATAAATCTGTCATTTTATTTAACATTCATTCTGAAGTTACAGTTTTATCAATACAATCTGCTTTCTAATGAAGAAATCTTAGTATAATCCTAAAAACATGCATTTATACACAGTAAAACATTCTACATTACTAAATAAATTACATACATGATATATATATTAAACAATAAAGAATACCAATTTGAGAATTCAGGACATTTATTTTTCTGCATAGGAATTTAACTACTGTGTAACACACACAGAGCAATTACGTTTACTAGGTAGTGAGACACTAAATAAGCATATTCAAAGTGTCTACAAACAGACTTTTTTTTTAGGTGACAAAATATTTTCAGTCCTTGACATCTTCTCACTCACCTAGCACCAGATGCAAGGACTTACGAGTAAACATGTACAATCTCATGCTTAAAACCTAAAGCATGCATTGAGTCAAATTTATATATTGTGATCTATACTACTATATATGCAATATATACTTCTTACTAACATTTTATACATTAAGTTACCCTGCAGCATTCTTGAATTTTAACATTTATGCAAAACAGTTTTGAAAGGTTTGTGAAACAAATGTCATGGTTCATCTGCAGGCTGGTTTGGGTCAGTGGGGAAATGGCAGCAGTCTGAGGTTTATACTGAATGAAAACGGTGCATGTCCATATCAACTCATGTAAAGATACCTATGTACACAGATGACACAGAGATCTGTACAGCTGGAGCCACCAGTGCAAACGCATGCATTTGAGGTACTTATTTTTTCCATGGTCAGGTATAATTATGCAATCATTTTTCTCAAGCACTGAAGATTTAAGACCTAATTAAATGAAAAGCCTGAACTTTAAATATCAGATATTTATATAATTAATTTCTAAGTATTATGCTTTTAATGAAGATTCAACATTATAGGCTTAGATATCCCATTGAAAATATTAACAGTACATTTTCTCATTGTACAGACTGATTGGTAATTATACCTGGCCAAGTGATAAATAGCATACTTGATATTCTTGCAGAAACTGTAATGAAATAGTAAAATACTTCATTATTGCTTCATTGGACTGAGAAACCTAAAAGGCAGAGAAGCAGTGCTCAACGATGAAACATCAGAGCAGTGGTGTATGCCCCCAAACGTCCTCTGCGCACTACAAACTAAGCGGTCTCCACATTATCAATGCCGTTGGCGTCTACATGGATATCAGGCTCCCCGCAGAAAGAAGAAGGGACAAAGTGGCTAACGGGGGGACACAAACAGCTCTTAAGCTCCGGCACTTCTTGCTTCAGGCGCTCCAACTGCTCCACTTGGAATATGTTTGGCTGTTCAGGCATCCAATCGTATATCCTATGGTGAAACAAACATACACAGAAAGAATGTAATTCCAGGGTTATTAAAGGCTGCATGACTTACTCTTTTCAAGAAATCCATTTTTAAGTGCCTGGAATATCCTCATTACAGAGATTTTTGCTCTGCTGTATGATAAAGACCACAGTGTTTATAAAACTGTTCTTTATAACCTTGGTTATAAAGTAATTCTTTAAATCAGAAAATGGAATCTGTAGTTTTCTAGTGTATGCCTCCAAGTCGATTTATCGGTGATGCCTTATTTTACAGGAGGAAAAGTTTCTGAGAGCTGAGACTTGTCCCCAGTGACTTAAGTCACAAATGATCAATATCTAGTGTGGAAAGAGCAGAAAGAGCCTCTGGTGAGTGAGGCATGTCCACAGCAGAGACCAGCTTCACATGCTGCCCTGTGAAAGCCCAGGAACAACACAGGGCCATAAGAGAATCTTATGTGTCACAGGAGGGAAGACAGTCTTCAACAGAATATACACACATTCTAACTCTATGAAATACCTGTGCACAGTAAGACAAAGATCTGAGATCTAGCTCTTCTCTAGCATGAATGACACTCTAGGTTTGGTCCCCAGCACTGAAAACCATCCATCCATTCAACCAACCAAACAAAAAGACAAAATTGAACATATGCAAAAGGATGACAAGCAGCTTCTAATTTCACAACCTTCTCACATCCCATTAAAATTTAAGGAAATTTTAAAAGCACAGGAATATGCCAAATAACAAAGCTGTGAAATTGTGGAAACTGGGTGGGGGGGGGGGGAGGGGGGCGGAAGCAAACGGCTGTAGTATTAGTTAAAATATTTATGTAGTTACCAAAAAAACCCAAAAATTTCAGTTAGCAAAAATATGAAAAGATCAATCACCAGCCATTCACAGGAAAATAGCTTTTAAAAAAGTAGCACAAGTTCCCCTTGATCTGAAAGTGAAGGGGAGGGGGGAAAAGATGAGGTGGAGTCTGAGCATCAATTAAGTATCTCTCTCTCTGGCCACAGCTGCCCCTCCCTGACACTGACTTTTGAAGTGAATAGATGTCTCTTAGAATGGAAATTGAGGTCTGGGGGAGGGCTTGGTATTTTAGAAGACCACCACCGCTTCTACCAGCAGCAAAAGAACACGTAAACTAGTCAAACACAGAGGCAACCCTTCCGTCCTCAGTTGTCCTCTCGGATGACCACAGTGGCAGCCAGGCAGTCCCCAGGTATGATGCAGACATTCTCTTAGGAAGGATCCGATCAGCCGAACAGGAAAGCCCTAACCACTGACCTCCGCGGTCTGAACAAGCAGGCCACCAGGACCATCCATAACGATGCCCCTGTCAACACTCTCACTTACTCACCCAGAGCTTCTAATAATTTCCTAGATTTCAAGCTCATCTGGGAGGCCAAGAATACTTTTAAACATGGAATATGAAAAAAAAACAACTTAAAAAAAAGACAAAAACGAAACCACCATCATGACTTGGGAGAATCAGTGCTTTCATCAATGGGAAGAGGCTACTCTGTGCACTTTCAACACAAAACAATGTCTTTAGAAACTCAAAACACAATAGCATACATGGAAAACTCCACAGGAACAGATGGGAAGGTTCAGTCTTCCAGAATAGGATGAAAAGAGAAAAACAAAGAAAGGATCTCAAGTCTGGTCCAAGAGCTAATATAGAGGACTTACACAAAGAAAATAAATCCAGAAACATGTAAAGCACAGGAACCTCAGAAATGCTGTACTACACCCCCGATTTTCTCCAGCACCCACTCTATCACTGAGCTACACTCCACCCCAAAGTTTCACATCTCTACAATCCCCAAAACAGGGTCTCATGCCTGGCTTTGGAATTGAATTTCTGGTCTTGTGAATGTTTTGGGTTACAGCCATGCACCACCACACCAAGTCTGTGCTGTGCTGGAAACACACTGGGTTTTTGTGCATGCTAGGCAAACACTGTACCAACTATGCTACATGCCCAGCCAGGTCTTTAATGACACACACCAACAGGCTAGAAGGTGTACTAAGTGCTCAGGACAAGGGAGAAACCAGACTTACAAAGTCCATCTCTGGGATTTCAGAACACTGGTAACAAAGAGTAGATTCTCTGAAGCCTCACGGGGAAAACAAATTATACTTGAGGAAACGGTAACCAATGTGACTTCACAGTTTTCAATGATAACATTGAAAATAGAGCAGTGATGGTGAAGTGTTAGAAAATCCTAGTTAGAAATGACTTCTGATACAGTAACATGAGCCTGGACAAAGAAAACATACAAATACGCACAATTCCATATCCTCCTCTCTCAGGATGATGGAAAGGCTGTGCTCCATATCAACGTTAGTAAACACAAGAGGAAGAAGAGCTATGGCTGTGGGAAGACACGAACTGTCATCAAGTGGCTGCTCTCGGGACGGCGCCTGGGCTCACAGAGGACAGCTGGTCTGTACTAGCACAGTCCTAGTGACAACAGGACATCCACTGCCACTTCAGTGGTCCTGTAATCTAAGAAGTGTCCCCTAGTCTCAACCAAAACTTCGCTAAAATACATTATGTCTGGACCACGGGCCCACTTCAGTGGTCCTGTAATCTAAGAAGTGTCCCCTAGTCTCAACCAAAACTTCGCTAAAATACATTATGTCTGGACCACGGGCCCACTTCAGTGGTCCTGTAATCTAAGAAGTGTCCCCTAGTCTCAACCAAAACCTCGCTTAAATACATTATGTCTGGACCACGGGCCCACTTCAGTGGTCCTGTAATCTAAGAAGTGTCCCCTAGTCTCAACCAAAACTTCGCTAAAATACATTATGTCTGGACCACGGGCCCACTTCAGTGGTCCTGTAATCTAAGAAGTGTCCCCTAGTCTCAACCAAAACCTCGCTTAAATACATTATGTCTGGACCACGGGCCCACTTCAGTGGTCCTGTAATCTAAGAAGTGTCCCCTAGTCTCAACCAAAACTTCGCTAAAATACATTATGTCTGGACCACGGGCCCACTTCAGTGGTCCTGTAATCTAAGAAGTGTCCCCTAGTCTCAACCAAAACCTCGCTTAAATACATTATGTCTGGACCACGGGCCCACTTCAGTGGTCCTGTAATCTAAGAAGTGTCCCCTAGTCTCAACCAAAACCTCGCTTAAATACATTATGTCTGGACCACGGGCCCACTTCAGTGGTCCTGTAATCTAAGAAGTGTCCCCTAGTCTCAACCAAAACTTCGCTAAAATACATTATGTCTGGACCACGGGCCCACTTCAGTGGTCCTGTAATCTAAGAAGTGTCCCCTAGTCTCAACCAAAACCTCGCTTAAATACATTATGTCTGGACCACGGGCCCACTTCAGTGGTCCTGTAATCTAAGAAGTGTCCCCTAGTCTCAACCAAAACCTCGCTTAAATACATTATGTCTGGACCACAGGCTCGTGTAGTTTCAATCTCACTGGCAGGGCGTCACCCTGAGAACCGGTAGTAGGCTATGACACTCCAACTTACTTGTCCTGTGATACTTTCTGAAAACGTCTGATCCAGAGGTGGATGCCTGATTTTGCTAAGCTAGTAGCTGAGTGGGTCACAAAGCCAACAAAAATCAAGATTTGAACTGAACAGTACATAACACATAATGGAGAGACTCTCAGGAACCTTGTTTTTAATATTACAGACATGCATTGGTATGTGTATTGTGAGTAAGTAAAGTTTTGAGTCACTGCCCTGGAGAAATTTATCTTCCAGGAGACCTGGTAAATAACATTCATATTAACACTAACAGCCTAAATTTTCTTAAGTAGTAGAATAAACAATAGAACATTATATAGCCAGAAACAAAGAGATTTATAGCTTTATGCAAAAATGGATTAATTTAAGACCATAATAAAGTATAAGGATTAAATTCATACCAATACCAAATGTCCTATTATTTAAGGATTGAAATAAGATTAAAGTTTTTTCAGAGGAAAATTAAGTGGTTGATGAAAGGTGAGGGAGAAACTGGGATCACACAGCACATGAGGACTTAAAATCACTTGCCTTTAAATTCACTACAAGTATCTGTTGTATTTTTCCCTCTTCTCTCTTGCTCCCTCTCTTCTTTGAAGTAGGTGGTGGTGGTGCTTGAGGCTGAACTTAGGCCATTCACAAGGCCACTTAAGTGCTGTCACTGGTCTATGTACTCCCAGCCTCTAGAACGGGTCAAGCCGGGCACTGGGAGGCATGCCTACAATCTCAGAGCTTGCATAGCGGCAGGAGGAGTTGCACTTCAAGGCCAGCTTTGCTATACTAGACCCTGTACTGTCTGTTGTACCAAAGCCAGATGATCATTTGATAAAGCTATAAAGGCCATCCTAAATTAATCACTCCCAATGAAATGATAGAAAATAAAACGCAACAGTTTTACATCACATATCGGGGTTACCTGTCAAACTGTGCTTGAATGCTTTTGTAGAGAAACAGTTTTTCATCATTGAAATTGCATACTTAAGGTTGGGCTGCAGGTGAGGTACCCCTAGTGTTTACTTAGCACGCACAAAAGGCTGGATGCATCGCCAGCATCATGTATACTGGGTATGGTGGCCCATGACTATAATCCCAGCATCAGGTGGAGATAGGATTGTAAGTTTAAGGTCAACTTCAGCTGCACAGGAAGTTTGGAGACCAGCTGGGACTACAACAAAACAAAACCTATACACTCCTATCACCCCTCTCTCATAAATGCCCCAAAGGCTCCAAATCACTAACCACTCAAAACCTTCTAAATTTGTCCATTTAGAAACATACAGGTAGCAGGCGGTGGTGGCGCACACCTATAATCCCAGCACTCAGGAGGCAGAGGCAGACAGATCTCTGTGAGTTTGAAGCCAGCCTGGTCTACAAAGTTCCAGAATAGCCAGGCTGTTACAGAGAAACTCTGTCTCAAAACCCCTCTCCCCTCCCCCAAAAAGCATACAAGTAAACATAAAAGAAAAAAAAAAAAAAGACAAGGACTTGACCAGGGGCAACTGAAGAAATAAAAAAACTGGTGGGTTTTGTTTTTTTATTTTTATTATTGTAAGCCTTAGACAACTATTAGAATCGTTATATTATATGCACATATTTTCACACCTTGTCTCTCAGACCCTAATTACAGCCTATGCCAGGCTAGCCCTCCAAATGCCAACAGTCCTGCCCTGCCTCATTCATACTGGACCTGGGCCTGAAATGTAAGTCCTATCAAAGAAAATCTGCCCATCCCAAACTTCCAACTCTGCTCTTCCTCTTCAAAGATGCTGAGCCAGGAAGAATCTTCCTCAGCACTTGTTATAATATTGACCTGCTATTACATGTCAACATCCAGCTCCAGCCATTTAAGCCCTTGAGAGGAAGGAGCTGTCTAAATTATATTCCTTAGCAAAGTCATCCATGGAATTACCTCACACCATCTTTTTCTTTGCCTCCAAATATCAATATCAATATCTATCTATCTATCTATCTATCTATCTATCTATCTATCTATCTATCTATCTATGCAGTCATTTCTTCTTCTGCATACTCATGGATACACATAAAATCTTCCAACATTTGCTAAAGCCAGTATTTTTATAAAACTGTTAATATAAAATTAAAATTTTTATTTTGTTAATTGGAAACATCTATTTAAAAAAAATGGCCAGTCATTCTGTTTTAAGCAAAATTAACCAACTAGTTTAAGAGATAGGCAGACAGGTAGGTAGCATGTAGGCAACCTTTTAAGGCAGCAGACCAGCTAGGCATGGTGGCATTCAATTTTAATTCCAGTCTTTGGAAAGCTGAGACAGGAAGGTTGCACAAGACTAAGCCAGCCTGAGCTACACACTGAAATACTCCCTGTTTCCAAAACCAAAATAAATAAATTAAACAAGTAAGTGAATAAACTAGACCAGTTCAGACAAAATAGTGGGAGTAAAAACTTTATTAAAGAATGATAGAACTTAGCAGGACAAAGAGTACTACGTAATAAATCCAAGGAAAGTATATTTTTGTTTTTTTAAGCAGGTCTGGTGAAAACTTTATCATTTCCTCCAACAACAAGTCAATGTTCTTTTCAACCCCCAAACATCTTTCTACTAAAGCAACCTTGAGTATCAGCAGCTATTAAACTTGCATTTTAAAAACAATTCCTAGGGAACTGTTTCTTACATCTAGTCAATAAATATTTGATCCCACAGCTTTGATTGCCCTAGCCTCTGAAGACAGTAAACAAAACAAGCAAAATGCCTTGCCCTGTGCAGCCAACACTCTGTGTCTATGCATTAGGGAACAGGTAGGTAGAGAGTTTAAAGAGGCCAGGAAGGAAAGTAGACACATGATATAATACATTACATACATGTTGTGTGTCAGTCATTGATAAATGATATTGAGCAAAGTAAAAGAAGTGCCCTGTGAACAGAAGCTACTAACTAGTGTAGTCAAAGAGCCCCCATGCAAGTGACATATCAGCATACAGGAGTTTTTCTCCGAAGCAAAAAGAAATAGCACATAGAAGGAAGTTGTGAGAGGAAAGATCTCAGAGAAAAATAGGATCGAGAGGTTAAAGAACACTGTCATGGAAGACTTCAAGGATTTAGACTAACAAAGTGGAATAAGCAGAGTAGCCATTTACAGTGAAATCAAGATGATAAGAAGGGACCAAAGTTTTAAAAGGTCAAGGAAATATCCTGAGTTGGATACATACCTCACTTGGGAATGCATAACGATATAAAAAAACTATAGAATTCAAATGAGATCACTGTAGTAGTTTGAATGAGAATGTTCAGTTCCCAGTAGGTAGACTATTTAGGAAGGGTTAGGAAGTATGTCCTTGTTGGAGGAGGTGTGTCACAGGGGTAGACTTTGAGGTTACAAAAGCCCATACCAAGCCCAGTCTGTTTCTGTTTGTCTGTCTCTCTTTCTGCCTCCTGCTTCTGGATCAAAAGTAAGCTCTCAGATACTGCTCCAGCACATGTCTGCCGGCCTGCTTGCTGCCACACTTCCCACCAGGATAGTTATGGGCTCACCCTCTGGAACTGCAAACAAGCCTCCTACTAAATGCTTTCTTTTATAAGTCACCTTTGTCATGGTGTCTTTTCACAGCATAGAAAATAAGACAATCACTGAGAAAGTTCTGACAGACAGAAAACAGGTGTGGGACAGGCAGCTGTCTTCAACCCAAGACAACTTATATACTTGGGTTAAGGCTTTTCAAGTGGCTTTGACATACTTCAACATCTGGAAAAAGCTCACAAAGTATCAACTACATAACTTTAACCTAACTACATTTAATAGTTTAGAAGATAAAAGCTACACTTTTTATAACATTCCATGGAGATTTTTTACAAAAAACAAATACCTATCATATATTAGACCATTTACTCCAAATTCTTTCAGTTTCCTTCTGTTTTCAGGGTCATTGGTATCATCACCCCAGCAGAAAATGACCAATCCCTTAGCTTTTGCCTCTTGGACATAGGATGGGTTTCTAAGCAGGTCTTCAGTATGAGCATTTATCCCCTGAAGAAGAAAAATTCATTGTTTACAAAAAAGAAATGAGTCATTACAAATGCTAAATGATCAGACTCTAGGTTAGTGCTCTCTAGGAGATGTAACAGGGAAAAATAGGCAGATTTTTTTTCTTATAATTTCCCTTATTTAATGGATTATATACATTTGTGTATATACACAACATATTATTAATATCTATATGTAATTGATAAGCACACTGAATGTGTAGTCACTATGATTTCTCTACTTGACATTAGTTAAACCTTTAACCAGTTGTTAGACTAGGAAATATTATTTAATACTGTATAAAACAAAACAAAGTGAAAACTTACATATGAGCAACATTTAATAGTCTTAGCAAACTGTGCTTATATATTTATTCTGTGTGTGTGTGTGTGTGTGTGTGTAACAATAACAAAGAAAAAGAGGACATGCATTTGGGAGATTTGAGAGGGAGTGGGGAAGGTATGTGAGGGCTTGGAGGAAAGAGAAGGAAATGATAGAAATATAGTGCATACATTAAAAAAAAAAGAAGAAGAAAATTGAAACATAACTTACCAAAATATTTTCAAACTGTGCAAAGCTCATAGCAATTGGTGTTGTCCTAGATCTGAGGTCCATGAGTTCAGGGTAAATATCAGATTTCCCTTGGGTCAAAAATAATATGGGATATTTGTTTTGCTTTTGCCGAACCCTAAAGAGACATGATAAAGAGAAAAAAAATGGTAGGAAGAGAATTACTTTGAAACTTTAGAAACTACTAAAAAGAAAACAAAACAGAGAGAAACAGAGCTAGGCATCATGGCTCTTGCTCACAATCCCAGCTCCAGGAGGTTGAGGCTGGAGAATCACTGTATGCTCAAGGCCAGCATGGGCTACACAGTGAGTTCATGGTCTACAGATTGAGAAACTCAAAGGCCGAACAAACAAGAAAGACCAATCCCATTACTAAGATACAACCAAGTCAAACATAAAATTTTAAAGTTTTTATATACAAGAGTTAAAATAATCTCAGAAATTGAAAATGGGAAACCCTGAGGGGCTTCCATCTGGTATGGGGGACAAAATGCCAGACGTGGGGTTACATGACCCAGTACAGTACAGACATCAAAGGAGTAGTGGGGGCACTTGAGAAAGAAGTGCCCTTCTTCAGGAGGAAAGAAAACACAGCAACTAAGAGGACAAACAAGGGTACCATCTGGACAACCTCCCCATACTGCCTCCCAAATCCTAGCTATAACAGAAGGGTACAGAAACAAACAAAAACCTGAACAGTACTCACATTGTACAAATATCTGCATCGAACGAAGAAAATACTATTCTCCTTTTCCCAGAATTTTCTAAAACAGTTTTTAAAATTATATCCAAGAACAGATTCATGTCAAAATATGTTGATAAATTGCCATCCCATACACCATCCTATATGGAAGGAAGGAAACGAGAGGCCGTGATACATGCTGGAGCTGCAGTGGTAGACTAGTGCCAAGAACAACTAGCCCAACGCTTAAAAATGTACTGATGTGTTTCCCAAAGGCACATAGGGTATTACAGGATACAGAGAATAAACAGACTATTAAATAAATCAAAGCAAATATTTGTGTCCATCTGCTTACATGGTTGCCCCCCTTTGGTGAAAGGAGCAGATCAACTAACTTATTTAACACACATCTCATGCACAGCAAATGACCCATAGTCTTCACCTGTATATGAATCTCTATACTTATCTTACATCTGTTATTTTATATTCTTTGACCTCTGATTCCTTTACTCCCTCACTGCCAATCAATAACTAGTTCTGTTCTCTTTATTTGTAATAAAAAAAATTTAGATTCACTATATAAGTAAAATCATGCAGTATTTTCCTGTGGCTGCCTTACTTTTACTTAGCAAATAATTTCCACAAGGCCCATTTAATGTGTGGCAAACAGCAAGATCTCATTTTTTCTCATTTATATACAGCTATTTCTTTGCCTGTTTGTCCAGTAATCGACACTTAGGTTGTCTCTATATTTTGCTTATTGTGAACAAGTAGGCAATAATTACCATTACAAGGTAGTAATTTCATTCCTTTTGGGTAAATACCCAGTGTTTGAAAGAAAATGGCCCCCATAGGGAATGGCACTATGAGGAGGCGTGGCTTTGTTGGAGTAGGTGTGGCCTTGTTGGAGGAAATGTGTAACTATGGGAGTGGGTTTTGAGGTCTCCTTTGCTCAAACTATGTATGCTCAGTGTGGCACCACAGTTGCTTCTGCTACCTGCAGATCAAGAAGTATTAACTCTCAGCTCCTTCTCCAGCACCATGTTTGCCCGCATGCCACCATGCCACCTGCCATGATGATAATGAACTAAATCTCTGAACTATAAGCCGGTCTCAAATGTTTCCTTTATAAGAGTTGCCATGGTTATGGTGACTCTTCACAGCAACAGAAACATGAGGACACCCAGGAAGAGGGCTAGAGACAGCTAGGTCATATGGTAGACTTCTATTTTTAATTTCTTTAGAAATCTGCTTTCCACAATAGCTGTACCATCTATATTCCTGCCCAACTGTGCTCAGGAGATCCATTTTAATCACATGGTGTCCAGTATTTGGTTTCTTCTAACTTTTTTGACAACCATGTTAAAGACATGAGGCATGACACCTGCTGGTGGAACTAATACTTATTTCACAGATGAGAAGCTAAAGACCACATGGTTATCTAGTGATAGCACAGCAATAATAATTCAGGTACTGAGACAACAAGGATTGATTAAACAACCAATAGACTTTGACTTTAAACTTAACAAAAGATACATTTCTAGAAACTTGCAACTTACTGTGACTTAACTATTTTGATATAATCTTCACAAACCATAAGATATCAGTCATTATCAAGTATTAATTTTATTACAAAATACTAAACGTCTTAAATATTAGTCAAAATAATTCTCAAATCCTCAGCAAAAAAAGAAAAATTACATATTAGGAAAATCTTGGTAAAGAACCTGCCACCTGAACCAGGACTACCTTAGCCTGATTTGAAGGCAACTACAGATTTCCTAAATGAAACAAATCTAGGCTGTTGGTCCAAATGGCCAATTATGACTCAATACTTCAGGACTCCACATTCCAGGCAACCTTTTACCATATATACCTTCCTCCAGCCCCAGATGCATTCAATAGTTAGCTCTTTCTTTAAAAGATTTATTTTGTAAGTTTTGGGTTGATATGTGCACATCAGAGCAGGTGCCTGGAGGCCAGAAACATTGGGTCCTCCTGAACTTTGAATTAAGGACAGTTCTGAGGACCTGATGCTTAACTGAACTTGTATGTTCTGCAAAAACAGTTAAGTGCTTTCTAGTCCCAATAATTAATTAGTCCTTGTTTTCCTCAACTAGCATAAAACTTTAGGGAAACAGGAACTTATTTGTTCTTATTCTGCACATGGTCTCAGCACTCAGAAAATGCTTGGCCTTTACTAACTTTTCAGTAAATAGTTATAGATAATGAATAATTAAACCTGGGAATGATTTAAAACATATTTCCAAAAATTTCTTCTCCTGTGTTGCAAAAAGTGCACTTCAAAGAAAGAAACTATAAGACTTCAGTTTTACTCAATGCCATTAAAGCAAAAGAGAGTAACAAAACAATTACTTACCCTGTGTTGGCAAATCCATTTTATTTCTATATTAAATCCTACATCTTCCGGCAATGATTCTAAAACCTACAGTGTTGTTTGTTGATGATGAATTGTGTTAGTTTGGGTAAGATGGATGCAAAAGATGAAAAAAAAAAAAAGGAAAAACAATTACAAAAATCAGTAAGAATATATTACCAATATGTTTTTTTGTCATTATAATCCATTAACTTTTCTAATACTGAACTGAAAACATGGTAGCTTGTTGTTGTTAAATAAGAAAGTCAAAAGGATTTTTAAAAAGCAGCAGGTTCAAGTAGTATCTTTGATAACTCAATTATCACCATAAAAATAGACCCTGACCCTAAAATATTTTTCATCATTCCTTTAAAAAATATCTAAAGTGAGTTATAGGAAACAAAAGTTGAGGAAGACCCTAACCCTTACCTAAGTCACACTTTTTGAATTATATTTAGATATGGGAATATACTAGGATAAGATTAAATGAAAGCCTCATTTTTAGCTTTTTTTTAATGATGTTTTTGTTTAACAAATGCCATGCTGATTGATAACCTCCAGAAAATACACAATGCTATTCTGAGGTCCATAAATCAAAAAGGCTAACACACACACACACACACACACACACACACACACACACACACACACACACACAAATAAACAAGTTGTTCATTCTTTCTAAAAAAAATTATCTGGACACATGGCAATCAGATATTTTGGCAGTTGTAACTGGAAAATCAAAATTAAAAATATGATATAGAGTACTTGCTTGTCTGAGGTCCTAAGTAAATTCCTACCAATACCACCCAAAGCAAAAACAGAAACAAAACATGAAAAGAAGCTTAGTTACTAGACAGAACTACAAACAACTGACTTGAAAGAGGAGATCATTATGAAAGTATACTAGAATCTCTCTAGCATCTATATGAACTTTCTTGAGGCTGTACAAATTGTCTCCAGTTTTTTAATTATTATTATTATTATTATCATTATTATTATTATTGTTGTTGTTGTTTGTTTTTTGAGACAGGGTTTCTCTGTGTAGTTTTGGTGCCTGTCCTGGATCTCAAGCTGTAGACCAGGCTGGCCTCAAACTCACAGAGAACCGCCTGGCTCTGCCTCCCGAGTGCTGGGATTAAAGGCATGCACCACCACTGCCTGGTCTATTACTATTTTTAAGACAGGGTCTCAAATATGTAGCCCTACCTGTCCTGGAACTAACTGTAGATCAGGCTGGCCTCACAGAGTACTGTGATGAATGGTGTGCACCACCACGCCCAGTCAATTTTTAAAATCTTTATACTAGTTTTTGCTTAAACCTTTTCATAATTAATTTCTGAAATCTCTTCTTTTAAATAATGAAGCCTCTTACGTTCAAAATACTTCAAAAAGGCCTCTTCCACCATCACTTCTACCTTCCACCTCTTCTATTATCCTTTGTGCCCTCTCCTTCTCTTTATACAGAAACTTGTTATTGTCACCAAATTAGCCCAATGAGGGGGAAGTCTTACTCAACAGGTAAGCTCTTCTTAAAAACCTGCACAGCCTCAGGGGTGATAGCCAGCACCTGCAATCCCAGCACCTGAGGCAGGCAGGAAAACCAGGAGTTCAAGAAGCCTAGGCCAGCCTGAGCTATGTGACATCATGTCTCAAAACCTCCCTAAAGCACGCATAATAATAAACTTATATTGATGGTGACTGACACAGCCCTTTTAGTGCCCGTTTAAAAGAGTAAAACAAATCATTCATGCAATCAGATATCAATGAGATAGCACTGTCCAGGTGTACCTCAAGGGACTTACCATCTTAAGAGAAGGAAATGGTTGGTTTTCAGAAAAGAAATTTTCTTCCTCAGCCAGACATTCTGAAATTTCAAATTGAAAAGCTTGGTAAGTAAAATGCACTAAAACAGACCTCCTAAACCCTAAGAGAGCCCCTGCACTAAAGTAATGACCACATCTTCTAGGCTTAGTATTTCTGAAGGTCCTTGCACTTACTGTCTTTAACTATTAAGAACCCCATTTTCTAAATAAGCATCTAGCAACAAGACTAGTCCATAATACTTCATGTAAAAATCATCCTATGTGGCCCCTAGAAGTGATTTTTTTAAAAAAAATTAAAAACTGTTAAGATGATTCTCTGAATAGTAGTCAGAAGCAGTAATTTAGCTCTCAGTAGAATTTAGAGTTGTATCAAAACCAGCTCAGAAATTACAGATTAAGAAAATCTAACAGTTGGAGCATAGCTCAGCTGGTAAAGCACTTGCCTAGCATGGATGAAGCCCTGGGCTCCAGCCTCAGGACCAAATAAAAGTAGGCATGGCATACACCTATAATCTCAGCACTTGGAAGATAAAGGCAGGATAGTAAGTTCAAAGTTATCCTTGGATATATGGTAAACTCAAGGTTAGCTTGAACTACGTAAAACTGCCTTAAAAACAAACAAGAAAATCTATGGCTACTTTTGTTATCAGAAACTTCTAATCCAAAATAGATTACATTTTAAGAAGCATAGAATATTTTCCTAAAAGGAAAAATAAAATACCAATTCATGTACATTATAAATTTATTTTAAAATTAAAATTAGGTAAAAATCTGCAAATTAATAATTAAAGGTAAAATTCAATTTTTGTTTATAGTCATAAAGTATCTATAAGCCTATGAAATCCTATTTTGAGATAATCTTGGTGTCTAAAGCATCTCATAAGCCTTCACAAAGGCAGTCATGTGGTTTACACAAAGCACTTGCCCTTTGCAGAACACTGTGAAAGTCAGTCTCTGCGACTATGAAACCACTGTCCTGCCTTTGAGAGATAACATATTCTAGCTAAAGAAAAGGAGCACAAAAGCAATGCATTTCAAGGTTTCAATAAATGACTGAGATCTGCTAAGAGAGGAATGTAAAGTGGAACTACACAGCAATGTGGCAGGCAGGACAATGTGTGAGGACATTGAGACACAAAGTAGTTAAGTAAAGTGACCTGCTCACAGTCACTTCGAGAGAGGATAGGGCTGATTCAAACTCCTTGCATTGGACTCTGTACCTGAGATGCACTCTACTTTGTAAAAGAATGTCTGGAAAGAACTGATATAAAACTAAGGGAAATATTGAAATGCTTACTATGCATGCAACATTCCAGTTGAAAAATCAATGTAAGAGCTACACATTTATGAAATTACATTCAGATGGACCAATACTGTAGTCATTAAGATGATCAAGGATACATTAAAATGGATGGGGAATATCCTATCAATACCAATCATAAAACAAAAACAGTGTTTCCAAACTGGCACATACGTTTCCGATCTTTGGCTTTTAGTGCAGTCACGTGAGAAAGCTAGAAAACATACATACAAAATGCAATTAGAAAAAAATCCATAGTTTATAAAAGCAATTAATTAAAAGTAACTTGAAAAGCTAGCAAGCTAGAACAGACAAAATGAGGAATTACAAGTTTATTAATAAGCACTCACTATTACGGGCATTTTCTCTATGTATATGTGCACATGAAATCATTACCAACTGCTCAAGGGGGAAAAGAATAAAAATACTCCTGAGTTGCCTTCAGGATTTTGATCCCAGCACTTGTGAGGTAGAGACAGGAGAATCTCTGTGAGTTCAAGACCAGCCTGGGCTAAAGAGTGAGTTCCAGGACATCCAGGGATGCACACAGAGAACAGTCATGAAAAACCAAAAACCAAATCAAAACAAAAACTCCTAAGTTAGGAAACTATTTGTACTTAGCCATTTACTTAAGTATCTAATAGAGATGAGATAAGGAATCACACAAAATAACATAGTAAAACAAAATATACCAAGATCTGAGTATGTATAAACAATCACATAAAAGGCCTACTACAAAATAAAGACAGTTCTATAAAGAGCTTCTGCAGACAGAAGCAACCTAAAACTGTGAACATGCACTCTATAGCTAATTCTTGTAAGAATGCAAAAATCAATGGGACCGATAACAACACAACAGCAAAGAAAATTGGAGATGAGCATAAACCTATCCCTTAATTAGACCAGAAGCTAAAACATACTCCATGTATGTTGAATGTAGTCATTCTTATGTGCAGAGAGTATTACTAAATCAGACAAATGTAAATTATACTAAAGCTGAAGGAAAATTCATATTTTGTGTCACTGTTAATACCTTCAACAACTGGAGCTGGTCAAATGTTAATTCTTTTACTGGAATTTCAAACAATTCAACGGGATCAGCTTCAAATTTCTATTAGAAAAGAGAAGGGACAGAAATGAATCTCTTTTACTATTTCTGAATGTTTGTACTACACAGATCTACAACCCCAATTTACTGAAGACAAGATAGCTCTTAGGTAGCCATCATGGCCCCATTGTAACCCCATGCAGAAAAGACCTTTTCACACTACAAGAGCTCTTATACTGGCTCCCCACCCTGTAGACTTAGAAGAGCCCACAGTTTGCACATGCTAGGCAAAAGCTTTTCTCTCTGAGCTACATCCCTAGCCCCTGGCTTTTGTTTTTACTGCAGGCATTCAGTGTCTGGAAGAAGGGGTGGAAGCATTGGTAACAGAGCATGATGTCAGGCATTATTTTTACTGCCTCCATGCGGTATTCATGTCATTTGACACTTATCCATGCTACATGCCTAGGAAATCAACATGCAAGTACTATAAGCAAATTAATGCTGCAAATAAGTTTCTAATGTTTCTAAGCTTTTTAAACATCTAACTTGACTAAAAGTAGCAGCCATACAAAGAAACTTCCATGAAAATATGTCTGATTATCTATAAGCAATATTTAAGAACCATGATTGAGCATGTATCCTCCACAGGCAAATCTAGATTTTAAAGCCATAACAACTATTATGCTGTAGAAGTACACCACTCTCTTAAGGGAATTAGTTAAGGTACCACCAATAAATTAACTAAACATTAAAAGCCATTGCACAAATATATTCATTCATGAACACTGGTACAAACCTGTGTATGCACAAATTTTTTCTGGAAGGACACACAAGAAACTATTAAGAGTAAGGGAATGAGATCAAGGGAGGGGAGGGAGATTTGTCATTCATTTCATCTTCTGAACTACTTGCATTTTTTAATGGATATGGATGAACTGTTTTTACATGAAAGTGTCAACTTTAAAAAATAAAACTAAAAAAAAAAATAAAACTCAAGGTAAAACTATATACAATTCATTACTTTCATTCATCCATTAACTCAATTCAGATTCAACTTCACAGGATGGTCTGTTGAAAACAAGGGATCAGTAATACTCTTCAATAAGCTATTTTAGAAATAATATTCTCTTGTGGTAAAAACAACATTCACTCTTGGTCCTTAGTTATTTATTCTGCTTCTGTCATCATTTGAATAGATGAATCCTTTTTTCACCCTCCTGAAACGATTTCACAAAGACAGAAAGTCCTTATCTAGGTCTGTGGTGGGCAGGTGGAGTCAGCTATTCTGTCAGACTCTGTTATAACACAGCAGCAAACTGGCCTTAACTTTAAAGCAGCTCACATGAAAATGTACTCAACAGTTCTTTAAAAATGCATGAAGAAGCCGGGCGGTGGTGGCGCACGCCTTTAATCCCAGCACTCGGGAGGCAGAGGCAGGCGGATCTCTGTGAGTTCGAGGCCAGCCTGGGCTACCAAGTGAGTCCCAGGAAAGGCGCAAAGCTATACAGAGAAACCCTGTCTCGAAAAACCAAAAAAAAAAAAAAAAAAAAAAAAAAAAAAAAAAAAAAAAAAAAATGCATGAAGAACCTTCCTAATTTAAGTCCCTGAGAAAACACTTGGTTCATCTGTATACTCCAGGCCAGAGTATATAACACTGACAATTATGTTTTTGCAACAATTATGATAAGTTTTAAGATTCTACGTGTATTTCCAAACCTCACTATGGACTCTTCCCTGTGTCATGCCTTCATCTCCATTCTTTCTACCTCTACTGCACCTATGTCTCACTGCTCTGCAGCCGTGAAATTCCCGTATCAGTCACTAGACATGAATTGGTATTGAAGTTTAGCTCTGAACATTTCTTTTCTCAGCCAGACTTTCCTTTCCCCCTAACTCTCCCATCTAACCTGCCTTGACTGAGGCCTTCTACATACTCACTCCACACCACTCCACTGTGGTATCTTGTAACTTTGGCTAAACTGTGCCAACTGATTAATTTGAGACATGAAGCAGAAAAACAGGATCCTGGAAAAGAAATTCTCCTCATCTGCCTCAATATTATACAGGAGACAGCGATACAGAAAATACTTGGCATGTCAGTAATATCACAAAGACAGAAAGTCCTTCTCTAGGTCTGTGGTGAGCAGGTGGAGCCAGCTATTCTGTCAGACTCTGTTGTCTAACAGCCATGTCAGCTACAGTGCTCTACTCAGCAGCAAACTGGCCTTAACTTTAAAGCAGTAATATCAAAAAGCAAAATTACCAACCCTGATGCCTGACTCAGGGAAATCATTATTCCCATCAAACCTATGTCTTAATATTATAAGGGCTTAAGAAAAGAATTGGAAGTAATTCACTAAGAATGAATTTACTAATAACTCTAACAAGTAACTAAACATGTAATAAAATTTCTTGTTTTTAAACATTTTATGACATTAAGTATAAAATACAAGAATTTCAACATACCTTTTTCATAGTCAAACAGCAGGTGAGATCATGATATACCACAGGCACAAAGTCCTTTGAAAGGTGAACATCAAATTCTACAAATGCTGCACCCTGACAAAAGAAAAGGAATCAAGTGTTTGAAACAAATTTCTGATAGACAACACATTTCTCAACACAGAATAAACATTTTTTTGTTTAGAGTATAATTATAATTTTGTACACAAAACCATAAAAATCTCTTCAAGAATATCTCACTTCAAACTTCTCCAAAATGGTTAATTAGTCTCCTACAATTTTCTCTTTTGCAAAGAGCACAATTTTTTCCTGGCCAAAAAAAAAAAAAAAAAAAGTGTGTGTGTGTGTGTGTGTGTGTGTGTGTGTGTGTGTGTGAGAGAGAGAGAGAGAGAGAGAGAGAGAGAGAGAGAGAGAGAGAGAGAGTGCGCTGGGGTGTCCTGATCCATTTGCAAACACAGCAATTCAGAAGCAGTGAGACAACCTTCAGGATATTGCCTCTGCCACTGCTATGAGCAGAAATGGAATTGAACAGGAGCACTGTGTATATTTCAGCTAAACAGCTGAGCCTCAGGGAGAAGTAAGGAAGAGTACACTACAGAACCTCTTCACTCTGCTCCTGGGTTCACCTGAGCAGTACAATTCAAAAGCTTTTCTTAGAAAATGGACATCTGTTAGAGAGGTAGCCCAGCAGTTAAATAGAAACTATCCAGGTTTCAGTTCCCAGCTCACCTATCAGATCACTTAGAAGTATCTGAAACTACAGTTCCAGGGGAGCTAATGATCTTTTCTGGCCTTTGCAGACACAGGCATGCATATGGTGCACATACACACACTCGGACCCAGACACATACACGCAAATTAAAATTCTTTAAAAAAGAAAAAGATGACAATTGAAGAAGCTACAACTGTTGTACAATAGTCAGAGAATGAATGACAAGAATGATACACATGTAGAATTCTAGACAGAGGCCTTAACTGATTAAAAAGTGGACAGGGATTGTAGTTTAAAAAGTTAATTTTAACTAGGCATAGTGACACATGCCTTTAATCCCAGAAGTCAGGAGGCAGAGGCAGGCAGAGCTCTGTGAGTTTGAAGATAGCCTGGCCGACACAGTGAGTTACAGGCCAGCCAGGGCTACATAGTAAGACTGGTTCAAGAGAAAGAAGAAAAAACAGTATTAATTTTAAAAGGTACCCATGTCTTACAAACTAACCCAAGTAAAGGCCAAGAAAAGAATGAGATGTCTTCTTATCCCCCACCTAAGTTTAGAGTCTGAGTCTCTATGGTCAGGTGGAGGAAGCAAAATAAACTCTAATATTTTATGATTGGATAAAAGAAGAAATTTAACAATATCAAGTTTATTTTCTTTTAAGAATACAGAATAATGTATTTCAACATGGTATTTCACACATGTATTGATACATTTTTTAAAAAGTGTTAGAGACAGCCAGCCAGATGATAGTGTGAGTAAGGACACTTGGCAACAAGCCTGATGACCTAAGTTAAATCTCCAGGACTCACATGGTGGGAGGAAGGTGCTGAGACAGAATTCCTACAAGTTGTACTCTGACCTCCACATGTATGCCATGTCATGTAGATGTATGCCGGCGTCCCACCCCCAATAAATAATAAAATGCAATGAAGTGTTAAGCATTATTTCTAAAGTAAAACCAGTCATTAGGAACTTTTTAACCTCAAAAATAGATGGAAAGGGGGCATGGTGGCTCATACTTGTAATGGGCTAAATCACATAATTTAGGTCAGCTTCTCCTATTTTTGAGACAGAAAGACCCTGTCTCAAAAAAAAAAAAAAAAAAAGAAAGAAAATATGTGTAGAGGAGTTGGAGAAAGTGGTTAAAAGCTCTTATTCACTTGTTCTTTCAGAAGACCTGGGCTGAGTTCCCAGCACCCAACAGGATGGCTCCCAAAGGTTTGTGACTCCAGCTGTAGGGGATCTGACAACTCCTGGCCTCCAAGGAAACCAGAAACACATGCAGTGCACTTACACACATGTAGGCAAAACACTCATACACATAAAATATTTTTAAAGGCTGGTTATTAATCTGTTATTTACATGTGAATCTTCACCACAAACCTAAACTAAACACCAAAAGATATTTTATTTTCACTTAGAAACATTTTCAGAACGAGGAATAGTTTTCTTTATTAGTACAAACTGGAAGAGCTCCTTGTCTCCATCTCAACAATCTAAAGTTGTTTAAAGAAATGGTACTTACATGACTGGCGGCATTTCTTAAAGAAGCAATAGTATTTTCCTGTACTTTAGCCAGCCTGAAATAAAGAAATGTAGTCATCAAGGACTAAAGAAAAGAACCGCTGCAGTAAAAACTGCCTCTCATCTTCAACAGTGAAAACAGTTCTATGCTGAGGCTAATTTTCCTATACTCAAAGTGTGATAGTGAACAAATTTAGCTGGTATGTGCACTTCATAAATACAAGCCCTAACTACTACTAATAATGATAGAGGTATTCCACATCACAACACATACCTTCCCTGTACTTGGATTTTTTTTTTCCTTAGAGACAAGTAAGGTGGCTGATTAAGGAAAGCAATCCTTTTCAAGGGCATGGAAAAACTGAGACAGAAGACATTTACTACTTGTAATAAAGCCTCCAAATGTCTTCATATTGGCAAACCATGGGGAACTGGGAATGACTGACACACCAAGGGGTAGATTTCATTAAGAAAACGAAGGAAAGAAAGGCACTACCGGGATAGCTCAATGGGAAAGAGTACTTGCAGATCAAGCATAAGGACTTGAGTCCAGATTGCAGCACCCACAATGTCAGCAACCACATTAAAAAACAAACAGCCGGGCAGTGGTGGCGCACGCCTTTAATCCCAGCACTCAGGAGGCAGAGGCAGGTGGATCTCTTTGAGTTCGAGGCCAGCCTGGGCTACAGAGTGAGTTCCAGGACAGGCTCCAAAGCTACACAGAGAAACCCTGTCTCGAAAAACCAAACCAAACAAACAAACAACAATTAAAAAAAAAAAAAAAAAAAAACCCAGGCATGGCCATATATGCCTAAACCCTGGTGTTGTGGTAGGCAGGCACTAGAAAATTGCTGGGGCTTGCTGGTTGCCAGACCAGCTCCATATTCAGTGACCTGGTGTCAAAGGTGGAGAACATAGACATACAACACACACACACACACACACACACACACACACACACACACACACACACACACACACACACACACCGGTAAAGAGAGAACTTATTAACATGGAACTTGAAAGTACTTCTTACTTAAATGTAAGATGATTTGGTTTGAAGATCTGTAAGATCATAATGATAACCACAAAACCCAAAGCAACCTCAGAACCACTCTTTAAAGATATATGTGGGGACTGGAGAGGTGGTTCAGTGGTTGAGAGCATTTGCTGCTATCCTAGAGGACCTGAGTTTGGCTACCAGTATACACTGGATAGCTAACAATCTGTAACTATAGCTCTAGGTGATCTGACACTCTCTAAATTCCATGAGCATTGCACACACATGAACACACACACCACCAACACCACCAACACACACACACACACAAAAAAAAACCAACTTTTTTTTTAAAGGTAGGACTCAATTTTATACTTAGAACCATGGCTATGCAGCTAAGAAAGAAAGAAGCACTAAGGATAACCTTGACCAAACCCTTCCACAGGTGAGGAAATTGAGAGCAGCTTGCAAGAGCAACAACCTTAAGAGTGAGAACAAAGAGACCCAAAAAAGCTTTCTGCATCAAAATTTCCCTCCTGGCTTTCAATTTTTAATATCCTTTTCATTATGCATTCAGTACATCAAAAACATTGAACATTATCTCAGGAGAGACTTGGTTTCTATTGAAAATAGTAAACCCTTGTCCTTATCACCGCTTTTATTTAATTCTAAAGGTAATAAAAAGGCATCTTCTGATATTGAGCAGGTAAATCTATTAACCTTACCAAAAATGGGCTACTGAATGGTAATCCCACCCAAATATGCAACTTACTGGGCAGTTGTTGTTGAATTCCCTGCGCCACGATGTCCAACATCCAGTGGTATTCTTGGCTTCCAATACTTGGAAAATGAAGACTGCATAGAACAACTGTATCCTGGTAACGGCTTGATGATGATAAAATCAACTTCCATAGGGGAAGAAGGGAGGGGGCATGATTAAAAAGACCACTATGAGCTAAGTGGCATCTGAATACAATCAGCTTTGTTAATCTCTATCAAACAAGAAAAGATCAAGGCAAAATTGATTCAGAATAAACCCAGAAAATCCAGTAAGTATGCCCCTTATAGTGTTATTGTCCTAATAATAATGAAAGTAAACTGTTTATTTGATCTTCATCATTTGCAAATACTCTATTTAAACTAATAATTCTTGGGCTGGAGAGATGGTTCAGAGGTTAAGAGCACAGGCTGCTCTTCCAGAAGTCCTTAGTTCATTTCCCAGCAACCACATGATGGCTCACAACCACCTATAATGAGATCTGGTGCTCTCTTCTGGTGTGCAGGCATACATGCAGGTAGAACATGGTGTATATATAATAAATAAATCTTTTAAAAAAAACTATAAAAATTCTAGCATAACCTTAGGTTAGTTTTAAGGGTCTATCTGCTTCTCCTCAACTTACCTCTGACTTTGCCTATAGTTTTTCTGGAATTTCTGCTCATGATGGGCAGAGTAAGGACTCCAGCACTCCTCTCACCCTCAGCAATGGTAGATGACAGGAGGCATGCTGTGCCCACATGTCCAGGAAGTGCATCACCCTGAACTACATGCTCACTGAGATCTTCCTAAAAAAAAAAAAAAAAAGTTCAGAATGTCCTGAATTTTTATTTATATTTTTTACATTTTAAAAAAGTTTTGTGTGTGAATGAGATTTGGCATGCAAATGCCACTGCATACATGTAGAGGTCAAAGGACTACTTGCCATGGGTCTCTTCTTGCATCATGTGAGTGCCAGGATTGAACTCAGGCCATCAGGCTTAGCAGCAAGCACCCTTACCCACTGAGCCATGCTCTCACTGGCTCCATTGAAAAAATTTTTTTAAATGGATTTAGTTCTTAAATTGTGTGTGGGGGGTGGGAGATATATACCTATAAGTACAGTTGCTTGTGGAGGCCAAGAGAGGAGATCAGAACCCCAGGAGCTAGAATTACAGGAGGAAATGAGTTGTCCCACCTAGATACTAGGAACTGAGCTCAGGCCATCCACAAGAACAGAAAAGGGCTCTTAACCACTGAGCTGTTGGGGAATATTTGTGTACACTGTAAAGATGTGTCTCTGCCTAAGGTGCCTACTGATTGATTTAATAATGAGCTGAACAGCCAATAGCTAGGCAAGAGAGAATAGGTGGGATTTCTGGAGAGAGAGACCTCTGGGAAGAGAGGTGGGGATCTTGGCAGCAAGGTGGATGTGCCGTACTAAGAGGTAACTGAGTCACGTGGCATAACATAGATTTAAAAAGTATGGGTTAATTAAGTTATAAGAGCTAGTTGGAAAAAAGCCTAAACTAAGGCCAACCTTTCATAATTGAGACTAAATCTTTGGGTCATTATTTGCAGGCTAGCTGTCCAAAGACAGTCCCACAAGAAAACCTGTTACACTGAGCCACCTTTCTTGACTGCCCTTAATATTTAAACACTGTCAATTTTCATCCCCAAAAGAACTTTGAAGTGAATTTGGAGTCTATGGAAGACAACTAGTGAGAAAGGAATCTAGGAACACATGCTCAATTGGTATGATACTTGCCCAGTATTTATGAAGCCCTAAGTTTGATCTCCAACACACACAAAACGAGATATGGGGGTACATGTCTATAATCTCAGCACTTGGGAAGAGGAAGCAAGAGAGTTGGGCTCAGTTCAAGGTCATTTTTAACTACAGAACAGTTCAAGCTAACCTGAGCTACATGATACCCCACCTCAAAGGTAATTGTACACATGATGTAATTAAGCATGGTGACACATATCTGTAATCAGCACTCAGAAGGCAAGGGTGGGAGTATATTTATAGTGAGATCTTAAGGTAGGCACTTAAGTAATTAAACAAAATATTCAACCAAATCTTCATACTCTATTTTTATAAATTCCATCATCTTAAGTTTAGATCTATAATTTTCACATTAGATCTTATAAGAGGTAGTCAAAAAGACATTCACAAAATATCTAAAAATACCATCAAATTAAGTAATTTAAAGATTAAAAAACTTTTAATATGTAACAAGTTTCACTCAATATGTTTAAGTCTACCTTGATTCTGTTGCTATCAAGAAAATGTAGCTAGGTAATACCACTGTCAAAGCATGTTCTCTTCCCTCAAAAAACAGAAATCAGCAGAGGCGGCAAAGAAGCTAGAGGTTAAGGAAGCAGTACATATAATTAACAGGACAGGCACACTGTATAAGGGCATTAGGGAAGGATCAAGCAAGTATTACTTGCAGGAAGCAAAAGAGCAAACAATTTCTATTGCAAGAGTCATTAGGTTGGGACCTTAGCATAGATTCTTTAAAACCTGACATAAATTTTACTAGCTTTTTAGACCAGCAAGATGGCTGAGCAGGTGAAAGTCCTGCTATGCAAACCTGATGTCTTAGTTACTTTTCCACTGTTGCGATAATACACCATGACCTAAAATAAAGCAACTTAGGGAGGGAAAGGGTTTATTTTAGCTTACAACTTATAGTTCATCATCCAGGAAAGTCAAGGCAGAAACTAAAGAAGAGGCCATACAGAAGCACTGCTAGAATGCCTCTCTCAGTTTGCCTCTCTCAGTTTGATTTCTTTCTTTTTTTTTTCTTTTTTTTTTTTTTTGGTTTTTCGAGACCTCAGTTTGATTTCTTATACCATCTAGGACCACCTGCCCGAGGGTGGCACAATGAGCTGGGCTCCCCACATCATTAATCAAAAAAATACCCACAGATTCACCAACAGACCAATCTTATGGATGCATTTTCTCTATTAGTATGCCCTCTTCCCAGATATGTCTAAGTTTGTGTCAAGTTAACAAAAAAACAACCAGTACATCTGGAAAACTGGGTTCAAACCCCAGACCTACATACAGATGGGACCAAATTGCTAAGTGTCCTCTGACCTTCACACGAGAATGGGCATGAACATCCCACCAATACACACAAACATCATGTACAAACATACACACAATAAAATTAAAATTTTTATTAACTTGTTGCTAAACATATTAAGTTATAAAATAAATCTACCATCACACTGAATTGTCATAATTAAAGGTACATTTGAAGCTGAGGGTGTAACTCAATTGAGAATGTTTGTCTAGCATGCATAAAGCCCTGGTCCCATTTACAGCCCCACAAAAACTGGGCATAGAGGTCCATGCCTATAATTAAGATCATCCTTGACTAACTGAGGCCTGCTGAGGGAATTCCGCCCTTCAGCCCAATAACCAATTGGATGGAATGTTTTTTGGCATTATGGGTGTGGACTGCTCTGAGGCTATGTGACACCTTAAAAACTGTGGGGCAAGGGTCGCAGGCTCTCTTGGGTGGACAGAGCAGGAGCCAGCTGCTGAGAAGTGTGGCTTAAAGTTTGGTTCTCATCGCCTTTGAGCAGAACAGCAGGACAACTGGATCAACTGCAGTGTCTACCTTGTTCTGTGTTGTGAACGTACCTTATAAATCTCATTCCTTAGTAACTCTTACCAGGCACCTTACCTCAATGTCCCTCATTATCTGGTGTCCAATGTGGGGCTAACCCAACGTCCACCTGAAACCCTCGTGGCCTGCCTGGGTGCTTGTACATGGCTACCTGCACGGCTAGCTGCATGCTCAAACTCCATCTTTTAAAATCCCCACTCTGTCAGACATACACCCGGGATGTGTGGTCATCCCCCCTCCACCCACCTTTGTTCCACAGCCTGGTGTCCAAGTTCTGCAGCCTGGAGAGTCCCGCCAGCATTCAGGCTTTGGTCCAGCAAGCAGTTCATGCCAGCTCCAGGAGCACAACACCTTTCATGCCCAAACCCAGGTTTTTAAAATCCCCTCTGCTCCTGACCTGGAGCCACTGGACCCACCAGAGGCGGAGCCTGTAGCAGACTGTTGCCATCACAGGTGCTACTTAGGCACAACCCTGCCCCACTCTGCAGTGCCCACAGCTCCTGCCTCTGAGCTGCCTGCAAGGCCTCCTGTCTCCCACCCTGGCCCCTATGAATGGGCTACAAAAGGCCTCATTAGGAGAAGAAAAAAAAAAAACTTCCACCCTCTCTACTCAATCCATGGAAAGTTCTTTGAACGTTTTATATTTATATTACTTAATAGGCATAGACACCTTGTCCTGGTTTAAAATAGAATTCTACTGAAGTTGCTTATTCTGCTCCACTAAGTTTTTCTAAGGAGCAAAATCTAACCATTTACAAAAATAAGTTCATGCCTGAATTCTCTAATTCCTCACTGAAATAACTACTCACCTCAAAAAAGTCAAAGATTAGTTCCAGGTTATCTGGCTCCATTGTCTGTATGCTGTACTCAGTCCAGCGATCAGGCTGTAAGCCATACCCGCATTCTGGCTGTGAGTGCCTGCACTTGAACTCATTGTCACTTATTAAGGATATCTCCAGGCTGTTGGACATTTTGTGAAGAATAGTGGGAGATACCTTATCATCATCATCTTCCTCCAGACCCTCTAGTGTAAGCTTTACCCTGTATTGACAGGAGAAAATAATGAAACACAGTAAGGGAGGGAAAAAAAAATCATAGAATATACATAAATACAAACAAAGTGTTTTGCAAGGAACAAAAATAACATATTAGACAGACTATCCACACTGCAGGTTTATTTACTGTAATACTAATTATAGCTAGCTCTCAATTTCTTAGCCTTGAAAGAACAAGAACAAGAACTCCTTTTGGGAGATCTCATTTTAGGTAGACAATTTGATAGATGGATTGATCTTCTAAGCACAAACTAAATCAAATTCTACTAGAGCATTTTTAAATGTACATTAGAATTGGAGGTTTAAACTGAACACTTGTGGAATATTCCTTTATACTGTGTGAAAATATGTCACTGTGATTGGTTTCATATAAAGCTAAATGGCCAATAGCTAGGCAAGAGTTTCGGGGCAGAAAGAACGCTGAGAGGAAGGCAGAGAGATGCAGATGTGAACAGGACAGAAGATATGTGGATGACGTAAACAAGCCTCAAGGCAGCACACAGATGAATAGAAATGGCTTAATTTAAGTTTATAAGAGCTAGCTAAAAACAAGCCTAAGCTATTGGTCAAGCTTTCATGATTAATAAGTCTCTGTGTGGTTATTTGGGAGCTGGCAGGCAGGACAGAAATATCCACCTACAGAACACTTGCCACATTCCTCTCTACCACAGTAATAGTCCAGGAACCTTATAAAAAAAACTACTAAAGAAAGTATTACAGCAAACATCACTTTGTATATGTATAAATATTGTCTTTGTTTTTTATTTGGCTCATTTGTTTTAAAACAGGGTCTCACACTATGTACCTCAGATGGCCTGGTATTAGCTATGTAGCCCAGGTTGGCCTCAAACTCATAGTAATCCTGCTATCTCAGCCTCCCCAGTGCTAGGATTATAGGAATGAGCCACAACTTGAGGCTCTATGCATAGATATTATTTGTACATATATGTAGCCACTTTTTTAATCGACCCAAGAATCTGTAATAAGCCTCATAGCAATGAACACAAAGATCAGTTACTCAAACCATAGGGCACAAGGACTAGTCTACTCCTAAAGATAGGCAATTAGTTGTAGAAACTCTGTTTTTTTTTTTTGGTTTTTCGAGACAGGGTTTCTCTGTGTAGCTTTGCGCCTTTCCTGGATCTCACTCTATAGACCAGGCTGGCCTCGACCTCACAAAGATCCGCCTGCCTCAGCCTCCCAAGTACTGGGATTAAAGGCATGCGCCACCACTGCCCAGCTTGTAGAAACTTTTAATATCAAGAAGTATATCGAGGTCAGGACTATTTAATGTAAAACCAATTATAGCTAGCTTTCAATTTCTTAGCCTTCAAAGAACAAGAACTTCGGTCGGGCAGTGGTGACCATGCCTTTAATCCCAGCATTCGGGAAGCAGAGCCAGGCAGATCTCTGTGAGTTTGAGGCCAGCCTGTGCTACAGAGTGAGTTCCAGGAAAGGTGCAAAGCTACACAGAGAAACCCTGTCTCGAAAAAAATAAAAAAAAAAACCAAGAACTCCATTTGGGAGATCTCATTTTAGGTAGACAATTTGACAGATGGATTGATGGTTTTTGTTTTGAGTTATTGAAGTTTTTTAGGGTGCAATACCAGAACAGTATTATTAATGAGTAATCTGCATGCCTGGCCTGTCAAAAACCATCATCTCCTCTCAGAAAGAAAACTCTAGGAATAGTTCTGGACAACTATTAATCAGCCAGAGAGATATATCAGGAGAGGCAAGAAATATACAGAAATGAGCAGACAAGAGAACCATTTAAAAGAGGGGGCAAGTCTAAAGGAAAGGGATCTGTAATGGAACAAAAGATAAAAAAAAAAAAAATCTTCAAATAGCTATATGATGCTGTAGTCCGATACAAATATGAGTAGAATAAAAAAAAGAAAGGTTTCTTTAGAACTTGGTACTACCAGGTTGGGGATTTAGCTCAGTGGTAGAGCGCTTGCCTAGCAAGCGCAAGGCCCTGGGTTTGATCCTCAGCTCAAAAAAAAAAAAAAAAAAAAACAACAACAACAACAACAAAAAACACTTGGTACTCCTGAGATACATGTTCACTGCTATACTTAAAATGCAAATGCTATGCCAAGTTTTAAAATTACTGAGGCCATTACAGACACATTTGTTTTCTAAACCATGATGGCTAAGTCTATCATTAATAATAAATTTCAGTGAAAAAGATGACCAGAACAGACACCTATTTCTAGCTATGCACATTTATTTCAACAAGAATCAAATCTTTTATTGTAGAGTCCAACTACAAAGTTATAAGAAAATATTTTGGTTCAAGTCTAATGAACTAAGTAGCAATCAAAACCCTCAAAATGATTTCTATATAAACAAGAATGGCATAAGATACAGTACTAATTTTCATTCAAATCAGACCCCCCAACTATTATTTCTTCAATGCAGCACAGGAAAAACATCCTAAAGTCTTACTCTAATGAGACAATTCACTAAACTGCGCAGAGTAGTGCATGTCTATAATCTGTGCACTAGATTTTGACATTGCAGACTACACTTCTCCAGCATGTTTTTACTTTTTTTGTTTTGTTTTGTTTTGTTTTTCCGAGACAGGGTTTCCCCGTGTCGTTTTGGAGCCTGTCCTGGATCTCACTGTACACCAGGTTGGCCTCCAACTCACAGAGATCCGCCTGGCTCTGCCTCCCGGGTTCTGGGATTAAAGGCGTGCACCACCACTGTCCAGCTTTACTTTTATTTTTAATGATTCTCACTATTAATGCCTTTCCCTTTGGGAAATTTTGAGTGGGCCTTGGTAAAAGACGAAAATGTGTACAATGGTAGCCTCTCTAAACAAAGTTAATTCTCTGGAAAAAAAATATCTGACACTTTGGAGCCAGGAATCACATTGTGTCCTCTTAATTACACAAAGAACAGGAAAATTAGATATTGACTAGACACAACTGATGCCAAGGATGAAATGCCTACAAGTCAGGTCTACAGCCTGAGGCCATCAGGAGCAAGAATTCAGTTAATAAGTATAGAGAAATCAGAATGGTATGGTATAACGGGAAAACAGGAAGACATCAGGACCTTCCCTTTCAGGAGTGCATGAGGGGAAACAGGCCCTTATAAAAGACTAAGACACAAAGGGACACATTTAAGGAACAGCTCAGTGCTTATCCCCTGGAGGGATGAAAATAGCTCTTAAATTGTAGTGGAGTGTCTAGTCCTAGAAGTCCTTTACCCAAGGTCAGGCATTTGGATAAGGGTCCCCATTTCCTCAGGGGCTTGATAAAAGTTCCTGCTTGCGACAAAGAAAGTTGTCTCTGGAAAGAGGAACTTGTGGCCCTTCATTAACATATGACTGTTGCCCATTGTCAAGATCAGTGCTAGATTCCTCAGCTGCAGATCTCAAGCCACAGCCCAGCTCACTCGCCCCTTTTCTCCACTTTAATCCTATGCAACTCTTGAGTATAAAAGGTTTAATCATTTTTCCATAAATGCTGCTGGCAATCATCCAGATTCACCGAGATCATGTCAGCCCCTCCCCCCAACTCCACACATCATCTTTGTTACCTGAACACCCACCCACCACCCACCCCTGCTGAAGCAGGTCTCTGGCAGTCACTTTTTCTTGTGATTGGGATATGTTTTATAACATATTTAGGTAAGTATAGTAAAACAACTAAAGATTTACAGGGTATAATATCATTATAAATTATATTAAAAAGATAATATCAAGGTCTCCAGTTACTGCAAATGGACATTTCTACCCAGCCTTGATATACCAGAAAAGCTTGCTTGTTATATATCAAAACTTAGAATTCTTGATTCCAAAATCACATGGTTAGAAGCCAAGAGTCAAGGTAGGCTACATCTTAAGGAAGCCAGCTTACTCAGATTTATGTTCAAAACTAATTTAACTATCTTTGCAAAGCTTTTCCATCTATCCCTAAAACAGGGAGTGGGGAGGGAGGAAGAGGAAGGAAAGCAGACTCTGGAGTTGCCAGGATAACTTTTACCTTTCACTGTCAAAAACTTTAAGTCATAACAAAGTTGGGACTCTAAAAGCCATTTCTGACAATCATTTTCTGTTCATGCCATTTTCCTCTCTCCATAAAATTACTTATTTTATCAACTTTAAAGCAATCTCTACAGTATGAAAGGTTAAATGACAGAAACTACTTGTTTTTATAAAAGAGAATTTTTCTGGTTGCAAATTTAGAGATTAAGACTAATATAAATATGTGTAACAGTAGCATTTGAGGGAGGTAAACAGTTCATCCTAGAATCCTATCATTTTAAAGGTCAGAAATCTACAGTAATAGCAAAAATAAATGGCCTAAGTAATAAAATCACATGGTCATACCTAAATCTAGACTTTTTGAATTTTTTCTTGGTAATTGAGACAGGAGGTTTCTCAGAATAATGCAGACGTAATCTTATTTCAGTCTGACATGTGAGCCATCCAGAATCCAGTGTTTCAACACCATCTGGTGGGATAAAAAGGATAATATAATTACACAGTTGTAAGCAATCCAGTTAAGTTTAATACATATTAACAATTCTAGTTCACATTCATATTTCAATACACTGAGATTATATAATACTGGTCTCTTTCCAACATTAAATGTAATTAATACATTAACTATAATTTAAAAAACCTTAAATGTGTCGCTGAAAAAGAACTTTCATTTTAAGTTAGAGAAACAAAGCGAACTGACTACTAACAGTCAGCTACTTGGAACTTTGAGTAAATCTGTAAGAATTGCCATTATAGGCTGGGCATGTCTGTACACTTTTAATCCCAAGACTCAGGAGGCAGAGGCAGGTAGGTCTCTGTTAGTTCCAGGCCAGCCAAAGCTACATAATAAGAGATCTGTCTCAAACAAACAAACAAGGATTGTTGCTGGGCATGGCACCCTTCCATCTCAGCTGGGCATGGTACCCTGTTAGTTCCAGGCCAGCCAAAGCTACATAGTAAGAGACTTGTCTCACAGATAGATGAATGGATGGATGGAGGGAGGGAGAGAGGGAGGGAGGGAGGGAGGGAGGGAGGGAGGGAGAGAGGAAGGGAGGAAGGGAAGAAGGGAAGGGAAGGAAGGAGGGAGGAAGGGAGATAGATAGATACATACATACATATATATAAGGATTGTTGCTGGGCATGGCACCCTTCCATCCCAGCACTCAGGAGGCAGAGGCAGGAAGATCTCTGAGTTGAGGCCAGCCTGGTCTAAAAACAAACAAAAAACAAAACTTGAAAGTCTTCATATCCAACTACATCTGACTATGGGACTAGTATGAAAGACTGGAGAAATGAGAAGAACTAAACTGTGTCAGCTCTGATTCTCATACTAAGATGTGCCAGCCACCATAACAAATAGTGTAATCACATTCTGTTAATACTACTTAACTTGAAGTTGCCTACCAATGAAGATAATAAAATTTTCAAATACCAGTGGTGCTGTTTTAAACCTAACCTTTTAAATCAACAGGACTTAAAAAAAAATCAAAAGGTATAACTTATGAATGTCTTAAAATCTTCAAATTTCAAACATTATTTGTAAAATGGATAAAGTCAAAGAAATGCTTTTCCACCCTGAAAACTAACTAAAGCTGAATTTAAAATGCACTGGGAAATGAAAAAGATAGCAACAAATACAGAAATGCTACAATTTATAAGCGTAAAAAGTAATTAACATGACAGATATTATAACATACATTATAGCTGAAGAAAAATCTATTCTCTGGGGGCTGGAGAGAGTATATCTGCTCTCACAAAGGACCTGAGTTCAGATCCCAGCACCCACAGTAGACAGGTCACAACTACCTGTAACTCCAACTCCAAGGGAATCTGTCACCCTCTTCTGGCCTCTGTGGACACCAGCACTCAGGTGCACAGAAACATACACAATTAAAAATAAAATGATCTTAACTGGGAGCAGTGGCACAGAGGCAGATAGAGCTCTATGAGTTCCAGGCCAGCCAAGGCTACATAGTGAAACCTTGTCTCAAAAAAACAAAACAAAACAAAAAACCAAACAAACAACAACAACAAACCATTCTCTATAAAGTTTTAAAAAAGCATAAATAGCCGGGCGGTGGTGGCGCACGCCTTTAATCCCAGCACTCGGGAGGCAGAGGCAGGTGGATCTCTGTGAGTTCGAGGCCAGTCTGGTCTACAGAGCGAGAGCCAGGAAAAGGCGCAAAGCTACACAGAGAAACCCTGTCTCAAAAAAAAAAAAACAAAACAAAACAAAAAAAAAAGCATAAATATATTTTGTAAATAATAGTACAAGACTTTAAAAATAAGCATTAAAGCTATTCAAACATTTTAGACTATATTATTTTTTCAATATAATACTTCCTAATGAAATAGTGGGAAATGTTCAATTCCTTTTCAAATACTGCCATAGCATATATACTGCCTCTGTGTTTAATGTATATAGTAAATCCTTTAAAGAGCATTCTTGCCAGGAAAGCACAGTGGTCACCAGCAACTCATCTCTGGTTCAGAGTCAGACCACTTCTGACCCTTAGGTACAGCACTTAGGATAAGACAAGGCAGCAAGGCAGTCTTCTAATGGACTGGGAGACTTTCAACCACTAGAGAAAGTTTGATTTTTTTTTTTTTTTGAGACAGGGTTTCTCTATGCAGCTTTGTACCTTTCCTGGGACTCACTCTGTAGCCCTGGCTGATCTCAAACTCAGAGATCCGCCAGGCTCTGCCTCCCAAGTGCATGGATTAAAGGTGTGCGCCACCACCGCCAGGCAGGAAGTTTGAATTCTGAGGATAAAGTACTTACTGGAGCAGAAAGGCATAAAAACAATTAACATTTTAAGCATATTTTGAAGATATGTTTCTTCACTATAAATTAGTTTTTGAAGAGTTAGCCAGAATTACTAGAACATTCCAGCTGTCTGGATTTATTCTAAACACATTATTTAAACATATAAAATCTACAAATTTAGCCCACAAGCAACACTTAGCTCTTTAAATGCTTAGAACCATTATATTTTCAATATAAGTGTTAAAAAGAAATGGTAGGCTAACATTTTAATACTAATATATATAATTTTAAAAATATTGTACCTATTTATGGGTATGGTATCATTAATTTAAAATATATATTCCATGTGTAATCAAATCAGAGAGATTAGCATTATCTACCTCCTCTACCAGGTATACTTCTTTATAATTATATAAACTCCTAAATCTGAAATGACCAAACACTAAATGCAAACCTTGAAGCTATTTATGATTTAACAGAATATACTTGTCTCTATTTTCTTTCTTTCTTTCTTTTTTTTACTTTTCTCTATTTTCAGTGTCGCATTGTGTTGTCTCAGTATATTACGTATTTCCAATGAGATGTTAAGGCAAAAGGTTAATCATACCATTAAACGTTTTCAAAATTCAGTCTCACTTACTGTGGATTCCAAATTGTCCATCATCAATAATGATTTCGCTTTCTGGAATTCAAGGAAAATAAAAAGCCTAGTTAAAAACTCATGATGTCTACAGAATGAATGAACAACTGAAAATTTACATTAAGTACTGTTTAAAATGGTAATTGTATATATAACGTAAAGCAGCCTACGTGAATAAGCATGTTTATTGTGGCCCTGGATAAAGTATTCCCTTTCAAGAGGCCAGCAAGCAATGTTGGTCCTACAGACTTGAGTGATTGTTCACAAGGAGAGACAAGGTCCTGGGAAGTTGCTCTAGGATGGGACAAAGCTCAGCACTCACCATGCATGAGCCTACCAAGCTCCTTGCTTATGTCTCAAACCAACAGTCTTGGCACAATTAAAATGCTTATTCTTATGTGGTTCACATCCAGAACTTGGCTAAGTATTAATGTCCTCAAACTCCAACATTCTTGCAGCCAGCCAAAAGCTTTATAAACAGCATCAACTTACCTGTGCATACAGAGCTGTGGAGAGCTACCAAGAGTAAGTGCTAGCACAGCCCTTCACTAACAGTTCAAGATCATGAAAAAAGCTGCAAAGCTGTATCTAGTAAAACATGAAAGACGTTTCCTTCTTGGTACTCTTCTCAGCTTACTTTTAAGCAAGCCTGAAGCCATCTGTTAGAATAAATGGCGTGTTTTCCTAAACACTGTCCAGCAGACTGCACATCGCCTTTAAGTTTACATCACCTTCCCCCCCAAAGCAGAACATTAATTTCTATGAGAACAGAAATAAAGTCATCCCACTTCTCACAATGCAAAAATATATTTAATTTCAAGATGCATCCAAATGCAAACTGTGTTTTAAAATACTTAATTCCCATTAAGCTCCAACTTCAATATTAACTACTATAATTCTAAAGATGCTGCTGTAAAATCTATCAAAAATATATTAAATGTATTACATATATTATATGTAAGAAGAAAATCCAATAAGGAAGATGGAATGAGACATCTATTTAAACAACATGTGTCCTTTAAAGAGGGCAAAGCAGAAACTCCTACCACTTCCTAATCTAAGCTACAAACCCCACAACCAGTTGTTATTCCTCAACTTTGATTTTCTGGAGGAACTAAAACATGTTCTTCTCTGACTGATTCACTTCACAATTACAAGTGAGTAGTTTCATGTATGTAAAATGAGTGTCAAGATCTATTTTCAGCACAGACTTGTGAACTAAAAAACACTTGTATGAAGAGAATTGCCATTTTTTTTTTTTGGCACAGAAAATTGAATTAAAAAACAAAAAACCTCTGAATATAAATAATAGCACAGCCAAGAGGGAGTTTAAATGAATTAGAATATGTCAACTATAACAAAGAATTGTAAATTCATTTGTTTAAGTATTTACTAGTATTTAAAAAACAAATATGATAACTATTAGCATTCAAAACTGAACTTTTGAGAGTTTTTGTTTTAGATCAATTCTTTCTTAAAATGTTCTCTAAATTTGAGCAAGAAAGCTAATAAAGCCATGAATCCTCAGTAAAGATTATTATTAACTTTCTAACAATTCCAAATTTCAATGTCTCATAATAATCTAAAACCCCCAAATAAAAATAAGTAGACAAGCATTTCTAATCGTTTATAAAAAGAGGCTATAAAAACTGTTTAGTTTTGAAATAAGATCCATAAAATGTTAAGTGATTATCTGTAGTACTGACAATGCATTGATTTTAAACTTCAGAATAAAAATGCACCAAGTCCCTAAGCCACTGTGCAGCACATTAGTAACTTTATGCATACGCCTCAAACAGATGCAGTTAATGCCCATACCTAAAGGGGTTATTGATCGTGGTTGTAGATGAGTCTCCCACTTGTGAACTATGACTTGACATGGACCACCGATAGTCTGCAATTTAAAAGTTAAACGTCTGCAATAATTTCTTATATCTTATTTCTACCCATGGTTTCATTAGATGTTTGTGGCCTAAGTCTTACACTAAATATGAGACCAAGAAACAAGAAATTCATCTTGCTAATTATCAATACTATTATGTCCCAAATCAGACATGTACCCAGGTCACAAAACATGATGAAATACTACAAAAAAAAATGAGTTAAAGCAATAAATAAAAAGAACTGAGATGAACTGGCACACAAAACTCTCTTTAACCCATTTGCAAATTTATCTACAATACTTTGGATTTTTTTTTAAAGAAAAATTAACTTTGCACCAATATTAATTCTATTGTAAGTTAAAGTTAACATCAATTATATTTCCTTTGGTATATCAAAGGGGTGTTTCTAAATATTCCCCTACATGTTTAGGAGACAGCCTAAACAACCTATGAGAGCAGGACAAGAGCAAGGACAAGATCACTTAGCACACATTACTGCAGGTAATCACTAGAGGTATAGCAAAGTCTTCTACTTAAGAATACTGCTTATTACATTTCTCATATTATAGTAACTCATGTTTGCAAAGAGCACAAGAAATCCTAGAAGAATACATAAGTGAACAGCCAAGTCTGAAGAATAACTGTGGTAAAGGGAAACTAAATTAACACCAAATTTGAGATTTACGCTTTCAAATTTAAAAGCCATAGTATAATAATTTCTAATGTTGATATCATGTTTCCTTACTAGTAAAGAAAATTATGTGCTGTTGCTGCCACACAATTTTAGAACAGGAATGAACCAACAGCAAAGGCCCTCTGAACAAACACAAGGCAGACTAAAGAAACTTACATATTTAAAATCATATGCCAAAAAAGTACTTATACATTTTAAAAGCAGACTTTGAAACTGTAACCCTATAAGATAGAAATTTTTGTATACTCTCTGACGATTTAAACAAAATATAGAGATGCAAAAAGGAAATACAAAAATTACTCACTATTACACTATTTCTGAATAATTACTACCAACATAAATCTTTGAACTTGGAATATATAAGCGTCTCTGTGTAAATTATACACTTTAGATGGCTCTTCCATAAGAGTATTCCACAATCTTATTGGATTTAATTGTTGATTTAATTTGGTAAATGTGCCAATTAATCAGTATCCAACAAAACAGGCATAGTATTAAACAACATAATTCCAGAACTTAAAACAAACAGGTAAATTCTTTTCTAAAATTTATAAACAGTTAAAAACTACAACAGCACTGGAGGTTACTCAAATCACTAACTCTGAGATACTAAATGACATGTTCTTTCACAATACCTCTTTGCCATTACATTGGTCATCTAAAATATGGTGAATATTATAATTTCCAATACACTAAAAAAAGTACATTTAATCCTGCAATACTTGCTATATGCTTAAAACTGTTTGTTTTTAAATTGTTTTTACATTAATTGAGAGTGTGAGTGCGTGTGTGCGCGTGTTCCTATGCTCACACATGCAGGCATATTTTCATCTGTCTTTTATTTTAATCTTCAAAAGAGGCAAATATACACATTAAAAACAGGTATGTTTCTTAGTAATGAAAGCAAAGAATTACCTAATCTAAGCTTTTTCTCATTCACTCCACCTCTCTTACATCCTTCTACCTCCTGGCAGGCAAACTATCTTTCAAAGATGGTATGGATTTATCAGTAATCAAATGTGAACTAAAAGAGTGCCATGAATAGAACTATCAACAGGGATAAAACAGGAAGAAAAGAGTTTGTTTTGCTTTGGTGTAGTTCCAGTGTCAGGATAACTCCACGGAATGATGACTACAGTACCTCCCACCTACGAACAGTCTTGTGAATTATATATTTCGTAGGAAAACTATTTTAGTAATTATTTTAATACCTTGACTTTCATCAATTAGTGACAGATCTATTACTCACATAGACAACTGCCTAGACTTGAATAATGAGGAACAGTTTAATAGGTGACTTTCTGTCTACAAGCATTCCCACTATAGATACGTGTTGGCTGATGCAGTATTAGAGTAAAGAAACAAAAACAACACACCTGTAATCCCAGTACTCAGGAGCCAGAGGCAGATAGATCTCTGAGTTGAGGCCAGCTTGGTCTACATAGCCAAGTTCCAGACCAGTCAAGGCTACATAGTAAGATCCTCATCTCAAAAAACAAAACAAAACAAAACAAAAAACCTAGTTTTAAAATAAGTACATTGATTTCTAAGCTGTTGACTATGACTTTTACATTAGAGAATATAATCTTAAATTTAAATTTCACTGATGGGCTTAAAAAATAACACTGAAATATTAGGAAATTTAAAATCTCAGTAATGATTAAAAAATACATAATTGGCTGGGCAGTGGTGGCACACGCCTTTAATCCCAGCACTTGGGAGGCAGAGGCAGATGGATCTCTGTGAGTTCGAGGCCAGCATGGGCTACAGAGTGAGTTCCAGGACAGGCTCCAAAGCTACACAGAGAAACCCTGTCTCGAAAAACCAAAAAAAAAAAAAAAGGAAAAAAAATCCTTTATGCTAATATGCTAATCTATAGGCTAAATATAATCATCCATTCTTTAAAATTTTGAGAAAGAACAGTTTTATTTCTGCAAATGATGTGATAACTTTAAGCTTTTGGAATACAGTAGGTTATTTTTGAAGAAAAAGGAGCAAACATTTTGTTAACATAAATACCTGCAGTTACTTCACAATTTAATATATAAAATCATGACTATAGAAATATTTCTAAACATTACTAACAAAAATGTTTGCATTAATTTCTGAAAAGATTTACTTATTGCTTTCTCTTTAAAAACTTATTTTTAATTATGTACAGGTGTGTCTGCATGTGGCTGTGTGGTGCAGGTGCCCTTGAGGCCAGAGACATCAGATCCCTAGAAGCTGGAGTTACCCACCATTGTGAGCTAACTGTTGTAGCTGTGGGGAACTAAGCTCAGGCTCTTGGATAGCAGCAACAGCCCTTAGTCACTGATCTGTTTCTCTAGCCCCATTTGTTGGCTTCTAACACCACTCAAGTACAACAAGCCACAGGAGAGAGAAAGGACACAGAGATGAGTCTGGTGTATGTTTTTATACATCAGCACACACCAAATTCAGAGTCAGGTAAAGGCACTGCTTAAAGACAAACTTTACTGATTCCTTTCTTCCCACAATTTAAAAAACAACCTGCATGTATGAAGACAGGATTTTTTTTTTTTACTCTACAATACCAAATACAATATTATGTAACTACATTTCTACTAAGTCCAATAAAAAATGATCATCCTGACATGATTCAAATAAAGGTAGGTGGACCTCAAGTTAACAGAAAAGCATTTGGCATCCAGAAGAATATTATTATATCAAGAAGCCACTCTAAAAAATAACAAGTTAGCCTATTGTAAAAATGAGCAATTATCTTATAACTGACTGACTTGTTAAAGCATTTTAAAAATTAAGAGAGACGCCGGGCAGTGGTGGCACACGCCTTTAATCCCAGCACTCGGGAGGCAGAGGCAGGCGGATCTTTGTGAGTTTGAGGCTAGCCTGGTCTACAGAGCGAGATCCAGGAAAGGCACAAAGCTACATAGAGAAACCCTGTCTCGGGGGGGAAAAAAAATTTAAGAGAGATGATAGTCAAAATAAAAGTTAACAATGAATTAAATTATGAGTGTTAGCATTATAAAAATTATGATACTTTTTTTTAAACGTTTATTTATTTATTATGTATACAGTGTTCTGCCTGCATGTGTCCTTGCAGGCCAGAAGAGGGCACCAGATCTAGTTGCAAGTGGTTGTGAGCCACCATGTGGTTGCTGGGAATTGAACTCAGGACCTCTGGAAGAGCAGTCAGTGCTCTAAACCACTGAGCCATCTCTCCAGCCCAAAATTATGATACTTTTAAAACATAATGGCTTGTTTTCACAAAAAAATTAGTTTTTCAAAAAGTATAATAAAAATTGGGTACATTTCACTCTAAAAAAAAAATTCACCAACTCCTTAAATTTAAATTTTAATTCCTTAAAAAAGTAGTTTAGGGCCTGAACATATAGGTTAACAGGTTAATTGTTAAGACACTGGCTGTCCTCCCAGAGGACCCAGGGTTCAGTTTCCAGTATCCACACAGTGGCTCACAGCCATCCATAATTCCAGTCCTAATTGTGATCCCCTCTGGGATCACAATTCTTCTGGCCTCTGGGGATACCAGGCACACACATGCTGCACAGGCATGCAGACGCACAGGCAAAATACTCATAAATGAAATAAATAAATCTTTTTAAAATTCATTATTTAGGGAAGATGTGAAATCAAAAGACTCTATGTGGACCCACAGAGTTTCCATTCCAGGAATGTCCATCACCTTTGTTTGCTATATTTAAATAAAGGAACAATTGCTTCCTGTAAAATTTATCAAATACCTTACTCTCACTTTACAAAGCCTATAAGAATAAACACAGCTTTGAGAAACTGAGAAAAGGGAGGAGGAGCTCACAATACCCTCCCTTTCCAGTGCTCCACAGATCATCAATTTGCTAGGGATAGACGTTTTCTGCAGTGGTCTAGAGATTGGCAAGTTGTTTATTCTCCTATAAATAACCCTTCACCCATGCACCTGTAAGAAATTGCAACCAAACTCACTGGTACTCGAGCACATACTCATGGATGTGTGCATGCACGCACGCACGCGCGCGCACATACACACCCCAAGGAAGAAAAAAGGAAAATAGAAAAGCTGAGATTAAAAAGGACTTTACAATTCTAGCAAACTAAAAAGAACATGTCAAGGAGAAGAAAAGTATGGAAAAACATGAATTGTGACATTGTATTTGCTTACAATAAAATTTAGTAATGAATGGAACCCAGGAAGCCTGCATTGAAGCCCTTCATCTTACAGATAGAGCTGGCATCCATCTAAAGGAGAAGAGCAATCACAAGCTCATCTGCCTCACGTTCTATAGATGCCTAACTAGACCTCCTAAAACTCCTGTCCAGTGACCTGCTTATCTTCCACTTCAGCTTTCCTATCAACCATAATATTTATAAAATATGGATTCAACTCATTCATGTATTTTCATTATTCAAGATTCCTTGCATAGGTCTATCATTTGGCAATACACTGTTAAGACAAAGTTTTGTGATAATTATAATAAAAAATGTTTCATTTTAAAAAGGCTACCAACTTTTAGAAGTGTCATTTTATGCTGGCATGAGGGGAAAAGACTGTAGCCATATGCATGGGATTTTATGTAGCTATTTACTCTAGTCCATGAAAAACATACTTACCAGGGCAGCCCCTGCATCACACGGTACATGTGTACACGATACAGAGCAAGCACCTACTTAAAGAAACACACTCACCAACATATACTGTAAACTTTTGCAAGTATTACAAGGGAAAACTCAGTTGGTTACTGTTAGGCAGATTTCCTGCCAATTTTCCAAGAGGTATCAGTGGACTAATCTGCTGCTTTTGGTTACATTTTTCCATGAAAATAACCACACTACAAGTTGGCTTATTGTGGCCTGTGTTGACAATAGTTTTATGTAACTGCCTAAAGTACTCACTTTCACTGTCCAGATCCTCTTTTCCAAATAAAATTTAATTTCCCATTACACAAAGTTTCTGTATACCAGGACTCTCATACATCTAAACCCGAGTGCCATGGTTTGTTTACTCATACATATTGTTCAATTTGTACTGGAGGACTGGACCATGAGGTACAACCCCTAGACCAACCAAATAAGCAGATGCTCTTTGTTGTTACACTATTGTCAAGATAAGCCAACACCATAATTACCCACAATGTAATTTCAGTTCAGTTACTGAGTGCTTACAAAATATTCCTGGAATAAAAAACGTAATAGGTGCAAAAGACAGCTAGAGTGGATTTGTCCGTTTTTATGACAGCTGAGAGTGAGATAACAGTGGTTGCTAATATGTTCATATATGAAAGTATTCTATAATTCCCAAGGGAAATACATTTTTTTCCAAAGGCCTAGTCCATGTTTTGTTTCCTACACCCCTGCTAAACCCTTGTTCACATGCACAAGTGTGGCAAAGGTAAAAATCCAAAGGGAAAGAAAGAATCCTTTCACTAAATAAATCAATGTCTGTAAATTAAGGAAACAAGTTAACATTTTCTTTTCTGAAAGTTAAACAATCCTGAAATAAGCTGTGAACAGGTAGATTTAGAACCAACAGATGCTCAAAACTTTTGGAGAAGACCCTGACTGATGAGCAGCATCTATGTAAAGCTCTAAGAGGAATCACTCTGCTTTTGGTAGGTGTTAAACAATGCAGTCACTAAGAGACAGATGACTGCCATGAAATAATTTTTAAAAACAGTAACCTGCTTAAAGTTGGCTAACGTACTTCTCTAAATGTATTTATACCACATATTAAAAACAAATGAAAAAAATTCTAATTGATACTAGTTTACAAAGTTACAGAAAATCCATGCATTAGATTAACACTGTAGAACATACTTACTATTTATTAGTCTTTCAAAAATCCCATGACAGACAATGTTTGTCTGTGAAGTAGGTACTTACTTGTTTTTCTGTTTTTGTTTTTTGGTACGAAAATGTTATTGACAGTTCTATTCCTTTTTGACCAAAACATACTCATTTAACTTCTAATGTTTTCAACTTAAAGTAGTTGCTTTTGAAAGTCCTAAAGAAATTGGAAAATAAAGAAAAACATACCTTTGGTTCTAAAAAGCACCCTCTGAAGTAGCGGTACTGAATTGATATTCCTCTACTGAGAGCAATCGTTGCTTTCCATAACATACTGATGGATTGGGGACAAAAAAAACAAACAAACATCAACATCAACGTAAAATGTATAAAGAACTCACAATTCACAAAACTTCTCAAATAAGGACCCTACTGCTGTGGGATACTTGTACACTATGTGAAGATGTGCTCCTGTGATTGGTGTAAGAGAAAGTTAAATGGCCAATAGCTAGACAGAAGACAATAGGTGAGACTTCCAGGCAGAGAGAGGAAGTCATAGGGCTGAATGTATGCATGTAAGATTCACCAGTGAGACACCGAGAGGAAACAGGAGGTGCAGGATGAAAGAAAGGTAACGCCACATGGCAGAACGTAGATTATTATAAATGGGTTAATTTAAGTTATAAGAGCTAGTTGAGAACAATCCTAAGCTGAGCCCAAACTTTCATAATTAATAAGTCTCCGTGTCATATGTGAGCTGGCGGCTCAAAGAAAAATCCAACTACGCCCTACCCATGATTTTACTCCAGGCTTGTCCAGCAGGCAGTGAGAATGCAGTGGTAACCCCATCCTCAAGGAGTTTGCTTTCCCGTGTGGGTAAACAAATACATAAGCAAACTACAAACATGAAACTAGCCGGGGGATGGTGGTGGCGCACGCCTTTAATCCCAGCACGTGGGAGGCAGAACCAAGCAGATCTCTTGAGAGTTCCAGGCTAGCCTGGTCTACAGGGCGAGATCTAGGACAGGCACCAAAACTACACAGAGAAACCCTGTCTTGAAAAAAAAACAAAAACAAAAACAAAAAAAAAACCAAACACTAAACTAACAAGGCCAGGTAGGGAGGTGTAGGTCTGTAATATCAGTACTTGGAAGGTTGAGGCAGAAAAATTCAGAGTTCTAGGTCTGAGTGGACTGCATAGCAAGTTCAAGGCAAGCCTCGGCTACATGGTAAGACCCTGTGTTTAAAATCCCAGCACTCGGGAGGCAGAGCCAGGCGGATCTCTGTGACTTCAAGGCCAGCCTAGGCTACCAAGTGAGTCCCAGGAAAGGCGCAAAGCTGCACAGAGAAACCCTGTCTCGAAAAAACAAAACAAAACAAAAAAAAAAAAAAACAAAAAAAAAAAGAAAGAAAGACGCCTTTAATCCCAGCACTCGGGAGGCAGAGCCAGGTGGATCTCTGTGAGTTCGAGGCCAGCCTGGGCTACCAAGTGAGTTCCAGGAAAGGCGCAAAGCTACACAGAGAAACCCTGTCTCAAAAAACAAAACAACAACAACAACAAAAAAAAACAAAGAAAGAAAAGAACAAAAACACTCCAAATTTGGGAGGAAGCTTTGGAGCAGAATCATCAGTGAGAAAATATCTGACTGAGAGCTAAAGAATGAGAAGGAATCAGCTACACACAGAACCACAAGAATTCCAGACAATCAAATCAAAGCAATATATACTGTCAATCTTCTCTTGTCTTCCAACTGACCACTAAAAGGTTTTGGCCATAAGTGAGCCATGAACACTGGCAAGTTACAGTCCCAAGCCTAACTGTCCTTTGTCCTTTAACTTAAAATCACCCCGCTAGTATTTCTCATAGGGACACTGGATGTTTACATACAATATTTAGGACAACAGTAACACAAATGTTCACAATTGAAATAAGTGCCATCTTTGTTGACATCTATCGATTCTATCCTAACCACTCTGCCATGAAGATTAGAAAATTAAAGCCTGGATCCATGAACTCTGCCCAAGATTACAGTTAACTGCATACACCTAGATCTGCCCTTTCCTAGTCCACTGCACTAACAACAGGCTTATACTGAACTTAATGCTGTTAATGGCTACATTATTCTTTGTAGCTAAGGAATCAAATTAATCTACTCATTAATATCACAGACATCCCAGAAAGTAGTTTCAGCCAAGCATAGTGACACACACTTGTGATACCAATTGCTTTGGAGACTAACACAGGAAATTTGCAAGCTCAAGATCAAGTTTGGCTTAGACTATAGTATGAGTTCAAGTATATTCTGAGTAACTTAGTTAAGATCCAGTCTCAAAATACAAAGTAAAAACAGAAGCTAAGCCAGGCATGGTGGTGTACACCTTTAATCCCAGCACCCAAAAGAGCAGATCTCTTTGAGTTCAAGGCCAGCCTAATATACATAGTAAGCTCTAGGCCAGTGAGAGATACATGGTGAGATCTTGTCTCAAAAACAAACAATTTTTTTCTTATTTTTTTAAGAGCCCGCAAGGTGGCTCAAAGAGTAAAGACACTTAGCCAGGCAGTGGTTAAAAGAATTAAGGAAACCCAGCATATAGGAGGCAGGGGCAGGCTGATCTCTGTGAGTTCCAGGACAGCCAGGGCTATACAGAGAAACCCTCAAAAAATCAAATAGAGTAAAGACACTTGCCACCAAGCCAGATAACCTGAGTTTGATCCCCAAGACCCACATGGTAGAAGAGAACCTATTCCCGAAAGTTGTCTACACATGCCGTGGCATGGGTTAATTCAGACACATATATACACATAAATAAATAATATATACATAAACAAATACAATTTTTAAAAAAACAAGGGGCTGGAGAGATGGCTCAGAGGTTAAGAGGACTGACTGCTCTTCCAGAAGTCCTGAGTTCAATTCCCAGCAACTACATGGTGGCTCACAACCATCTGTAATGAGATCTGGTGCCCTCTTCTGGCCTTCAGTCATCCATGCTATATACATAATAAATAAATCTTTAAAAAAAAACAAGAGAGTGAAAAAAAGGACAAGTAAAGAGCTCAGTAGGAAAACATTCCTCTTGCATGTACAAAGGCCCTATGTTCAATCCCCCATACTTCCCCCCAAAACAAAAATAACTTCATATACCAGGTGTGGATGCATGTGCCTGCAATCTCAGCACTCAGAAAGCTGAAGCAGGGGGGGTCTCAAGTTCAAGAGAAGTCTCAAAACAATACTATAATAGTAACAGTTCAATGGCAGTATGCATGTTTAGCATGTATGAGGGCCAATATTTGATCCCACGAAGATGCAAGCACGCACTCACGCACACAAAGAAAAAAGCAGCAATGGCCTGAGAAATCTAGAGATAATACCTAGATTTTGTTTTAAATGAGAAAAGCCCATTTAGAAACATAGTGGTTGGTAAAGATAGTCTAGTGGCCCAGGCCTGCCCGAACAATTGAGGAAGCTGAGACAGGTCTCAAGTTCACGGCTCAAGACCAGCCCTGGGTAACTCAGCAAGATATCATCTCAAAATAAAAATGAAAGGAAATGGCTGTGTATGTAACTCAGTGGTTTAGCACTTGCTTAGCGTGTGCAAAGTCTTAGATTAAATTCCCAGTTCATCCAAAACGGAGGGGGGCTCTCTCAGGAGAGATGTGTTTTTTGGGATGGACCGGTGAGTAAAGGTGCTTGCTGCCAAGCCTGCTCATCTGAGTTCTATCCCCAGCACCCAGATGGTAGGAGAGAGCTGACTCCTGCAACTTGTCCTGACTCACACACACACAGTGGCAAGCAAACATACATGTATACATATATACATGTACAATAAAAAATGTAATTAATAAAAGGGGGTGAGAATGATAAGAGTCAAAGGATGTTAAGAGTTTTGAATGGAAGTTAAGGAATCTCTTTTTCCACAAACTTTTGTACAGTGATTTTACTCTTTGAAATTGTGTACACGACAACTTTCATAAAAATTAAACTAAAAGAAACATTATATACAGACTACCTCGGTAGTCCCTAGTTTGTTTATAATACAAATGACACCATTATTCGATAACCTGGCATTTCTGCACTCACCTTTCTCCTGTCTCGTTCTCTGGAAGAAGAGCCACAGCATTTTGAGGATTCCAGTTTCCCAGGGCATCACAGCTTCCACATATTGCAAAAACCTCTCCTAAAGAAATCAGAGCTGTCAGGCTTTTCCAAACAGGAAATTTTCCAATTTTAGGAAGCAAAAAGAGAATAGTCAGCTATAACTGTCTTTAGAGTCTCCTTGAGTCAAGAAAGGGGAGCCTCAGGCAGGGCTTCTGACCCACTGGCCATTCTATCATCTTGTAAGTTAATTTGACTCATCTCTCCAGAACCAGAGGCAGCAAAAAGAAGTAGGCACAGGAACAAGATTTTCTTCATTTTGTTCACCTACTTAGTAAGCAAATAACAAGCATGCAAGTAGCAAAATGATCAAGACAGTCCCTTCACTGACGCTTCCAATTTCAAGAAATAAACACCAAAAAGGGTTTTTGTTTGTTTTTTGTTTTCTTATTTTGTTTTTTGGAGACAGGGTCTTACTATGCAGCTCTGGCTGTCCTTGAACTTACAGGGAGCCACCCATCTCTGCCTCCAGAGTGCTAACACTGTGCTCCCAAAAACAGACTAAGAATTCTAGAGAAATATTAATTAATAGCTGTTGGGGAGTCTCCTCCGACACCTGCCTCTGCTCCTCTACCTCCCTTCTCATCTAGTCATGAGTATCAACCATCTCTGCTTCACTCCCTAAAACTGAGTGCCTGCCCATTCACAAAGTTAGTTCCTTTGTGGTTACTCTGATCAGTTCATCTGCGTGATGTGGTCCGTTTCTTTTAACTTAACCTGCCTCCTTACAATTCCCTTCAAGAGTACAGTATGGGGGCTGTGGAAGTATAAGAGCTCTAGCCTTGATCCCTAGAACCTGTAATCCCACCACTTGGGAAATGGAAGCACGAGGACCCTTGGCTACCTAGAAAATTCAAGGCAAGCCTGAAATACATGAGACCCTGTCTCAAACAGAGTACAATTTAGTCTGCAGTCTCTCTAAGGAGGCTGCACATGGGTCCAGGTGAGCAACGGCCAGTGAGAGCCACACCATCGTTGGCAACCTGCAGTCTGAAGAATACCGCCCAGAGTAAAGGAGTAAAGCTGTACTAGGTTTTCTGGCTGAGAACATAACCTGAAATGCACGTGCACACAGGAGAACACATGCAGGCACATACACACAATCAATTGCTGTGGTGGTTGCTAGAACAAGCATGTTAGCTATAGAATGACTCATTTATTCTTTGAAGACATTTACTATGCTCCTCATCTGTACCAAGCTCTGTGCTAGGTTCAGAAATTTAGCATCAAGACAAGATCATGTTGTCATAAAGCTTACCATTTGTCTATAGGGCAAATTACTCAAGTAATTCTAAAAATCTCTAGAAAATGCTGCAAAAATAGTGCCAGAACCTAAGGAAATGTCTTAGAGACTCTCACCTTGAAAAAGGTGAGAGTTAAGGGTCACATATCAAGGCAGAGGAAAACAGAATTTGAAAAAAACAAAAACTCACAAAAGAGGAATGGGGGAGGGGAGAGCAGCAGATTTGGAGAACTGAAAGGCAGCTGATATGAGCAGAACAGCAAATAGCAAGATTCAAACCCAAGTGTGGCAGTGTTTTGGTATGATACCTTACAACAAAATTACTTCATGGTACTTTAACAGACATTAGAAAATGATATAAAGAAAATTCACAAGTAGCAGAATTTAAAATGAGAGACACTGAGGGGCTGGAGAGATGGCTCAGCAGTTAAGAGCACTGGCTGCTTTTCCTGAGTTCAACTCCCAGCAACCACATGGTGGCTCACAACCATCTGTAACAGGATCTGATGCCCTTTTCTGGCTTGCAGGTATGCAGAGTACTCATACATAAAATGTAAATAAATAAAATTAAAAAAAAAAAAAAAAGACACCTGTGTGTCCACTTGCAAAAAAAAAAAAAAAAAAAGTGACATTGACCATTGACCAGGTGGGGTGGCACACACTTTTAATCCAGCACTTGGGAGGCAGAGGTAAGAAGATCACTGAATTCCAGGTCAGCCAGAGATACAAAGACCCTGTCTTTAAAAAGAGGCAGCCAAACTGGGCAGTGGTGGTGCATGCCTTTAATCCCAGCACTCAGGAGGACCTCTGTGAGTTCCAGGCCAGCCTGGTCAACAGAGTAAGATCTAGGACAGGGGCTGGAGAGATGGCTCAGCGGTTAAGAGTACTGGCTGTTCTTCCAGAGGTCCTGAGTTCAATTCCCAGCAACCACATGGTGGCTCACAACCATCTGTAGTGAGATCTGGTGCCCTCTTCTGGCCTGCAGGGATACATGCAGACAGAGCACTGTATACATGATAAATAAATAAATCTTAAAAAAAAAAAAAAAAAAAAAAAGCCGGGCGGTGGTGGCGCACGCCTTTAATCCCAGCACTCGGGAGGCAGAGGCAGGCGGATCTCTGTGAGTTCGAGGCCAGCCTGGACTACCAAGCGAGTTCCAGGAAAGGCGCAAAGCTACACAGAGAAACCCTGTCTCGAAAAACCAAAAAAAAAAAAAAAAAAAAGATCTAGGACAGGCACCAAACTACACAAGACCCTAGGTTCAGTCCTCAGTTCCGGGATGGGGTGGGGGGAAATAAAAAAAAGAAAGAAAGAAAGAAAGAAAGAAAGAAAGAAAGAAAAGAAAAAAAAAAGCAGGGTCTTTGTGGCAATTTTTTTTTGTTTTTTGTTTTTTTTTGTTTTTTGTTTTTTTTTGGTTTTTCGAGACAGGGTTTCTCTGTGTAGCTTTGCGCCTTTCCTGGAACTCGCTTTGGAGACCAGGCTGGCCTCGAACTCAGAGATCCGCCTGGCTCTGCCTCCCGAGTGCTGGGATTAAAGGCGTGCGCCACCACCGCCCGGCTTCTTTGTGGCAATTTTTAAAAGAGGAGGGAAGCACAGGACGGCACCAGACTGGCATGCTGCTGTATTCTTCTATGTACGTGCCAAGAGGAGCACAGGTATCACCTGAGAAGGTGCACTGATGGACAATGCTGAGAATACCAAGAAGGACATTCCTGGGGCAGATATGATCTCTGCTTCAATAGAGCAGAAAGAGGGGCTGCAGAGATGGCTCAGGTTAAGAGCACTGGCTGTTCTTCAGAGGTCACAGTTAAACTCCAGGCACTCAAACGTTGGCTCACAACAGTCCCAGAGGATCCAGGGAATCTGACACCCTCTTCTGGTCTCTATAGCAATTATATTCACCTGGTGCACAGACATACATGCAACCCATACATATAAAGGGGGAAATTTTTTAAATGATTAATTTTTAAAAGATATTCTAGAGTAAAACTTTACCTGGTAAAAGAGTTCCTCTTATTTCAAAGGTGACCTGAGAAGGTGTCATTCTGATGGATTTATTTTAGAATTTCTGCTAGAAAAGAAAAGAAAAATAGTCACTAATTGTATACAAAAACAATAGTATTTTACTGGCCGGGCGGTGGTGGCGCACGCCTTTAATCCCAGCACTCGGGAGGCAGAGCCAGGTGGATCTCTGTGAGTTCGAGGCCAGCCTGGGCTAACAATCGAGTCCCAGGAAAGGCGCAAAGCTACACAGAGAAACCCTGTCTCGAAAAACGAAAACAAACAAACAAACAAACAAAAACAATAGTATTTTACCATCAGTACACAATGGGGTTAGGGGTGTTATTCAGTTGACCAAGAGCACAATACCCTGGATTCAATCGCCAGTATCACATAAACCTAGCATGGAGGCTGTGAGAGATCAGAAGTTCAAAGTTATCCATGCTACACAGTCAGTTGGAAGCCAGCCTACAATATATGAGTCCCTGTCTTAACGAAGAAAGGGGTCAATGAGATGGCTCAGAGGGTAAAAGCCCCAAGCCTGATGACCTGAGTTTGATCTCCAGGACCCAAGTATAAGTGGAAGAAAATTGATTCTTGAAAGCTGTCCTTGACCTGTGCTCTATACAGACATACACTTAAATAAGTGTTATTTAGAAAAAGATTTATTTGGCTGGGGTGGTGGTGGTGGTGGTGGTACATGCCTTTAAGCTCAGCATTCAGAAGGCAGAGGTAGTCTTGATCTATAGAATTCAAGGCCAGCCTGGTCTGAGGAGTTCCAGGACAGCCAGAGCTATGAAGAGAAACCCTGTCTAAAAAAAAAAAAATAATAAACAAAAAATATTTAATTGGTTCACACCTATAATCCCAGCTCTCGGGAAGCAGAGGTGGGGGGAATCTCTGAGTTCCAGGACAGCCAGGACTATAAAGAGATCTTGTTTTAAACAAACAAAAGATATTTAATGACTTTGCAATTCTATGACAATTTTTTAAAACTTTTAAAATAACTTTTTCTTTAAAAATGTTTATACAAGGCCGGGCGGTGGTGGCACATGCCTTTAATCCCTGCACTTGGGAGGCAGAGGCCAGCCTGGTCTACAGAGTGAGATCCAGGAAAAGCACAAAGCTACAGAGAAACCCTGTCTCGAAAAACCAAAAAAAAAAAAAAAAAAAAAAAAATACAATTTGATCATATCCACACCCCACTACCTCACTCCAGCTCCCCCTAGTGTCCTCTATCCCAACTTTATTTTATGCCTTCATCATTAAAAAAAATAAAAAATAAAAACTTTGATAAGAAAAGTTAAAAAGAAAGAATACAAACAAAATATTCAAGTAGTCATTTCAAAGTCCTTATATACAAATTGATTGCATTAAGTAGGAAGTATCCAGCTAGACTTACAGTTTTGTTACACTCTTACTTTCCAAAAATCCAAGAAGGTGTGGACCAGAAATATTGCAAAACAAATGTGTCCAAACATTTTATTTTTAGGGAGTCAAGATTCTCTTGCCACATACTTTCTCTTTAGATAAGCAGCTGTGCTAAGTCAACCTATCTTTCCTAACCAGGCCCAGGTTAGGGTGGAAAGGAAAGAAAACCTATAAACAGAAAAAGCTCAACTAGAGACTTCTATTTTAGTCACAAAAAAGCAACTGAAGTCCTTCAGCACATCTTACAGAAACTAGCTGTTTGGTAAAAAGCTTATGAATCTGTTTCTAATATATAATGTTAACTTGCTACCCACACACATCCTTCCTCAAAATTAAGTCTTTTCAGATTTTTTCTTCATAGGACTCTGATTCTTTAAATTTAGTTTAACTGTAATCTATTATCAAAAAAACTCGATCTGCTGTTCATGTGGCTACAGCATTCTTTCCAGTCAGCATCATTCAAAATCGCACCTCCTGGTACTCTGGCTTCTAAATCTCCTCTCAGCACTATGTCTTAACCAAGTAGAACATTATTCCTCACTGCACAGATTTTATTTACAGAAATCTATACTTCTTTTTTAAAGATTTATTTATTTATTATGCACACAATGTTCTGCCTGCATGCCAAAAGAGGGCACCAGTCTTAATTTTAGATGGTTGTGAGCCACCGTGGTTGCTGGGAATTGAACTCAGGACCTCTGGAGGAGCAACCAGTGCTCTTAACCTCTGAGCCATCTCTCCAGTCCCCAGAAATCTATACTTCTAAGGCTAAGATCCTTTGCCTTTTTATTCATATTTTCTCTCTAATTTTTCCTTCCCGCCTCCAGACTTACCTAAGTACATTTGTTCACCATAGCCTACCTTAAATAACTAAGGGAAGGCAGGAAATTACTTTTTAAATATATACATATGCATAGACACATACATCTCAAGATAGTTACTAAGTTTAAACGAAGAACACATTCTTCATATGGTTTACATAACAATTCAAATAATTATTCAACTATCCAAAAACTAGACTTTTGTGCAGAAATAATCCAGGTCTCTAAAAGAATTTCAGTAATATCTTTACTTGGCATCATATCCCTTAATCTACCAGCTAAATTTCATTTTATTTATGAATAGGGATGCTTCTAGAATCTAGTGGGCAGAGGCCAATAGTGTTGCTAGCATCACACAGTGACTGAGCAGTCCTCCACAGTTCAAAACAGCAATAGGTCTGAGAACCAAAAACCTTATCTATATATAATACCTAGAGAGGACTGGTAAGTAATCAAGAGTCCATAATTAATATTAGCTACACACTATGGATGCATCGTCACATTTATGCCAATTAGAAAATATAATGCTGAAAGTTATTTTATAAATGTACAATATCATATATATTTTTACATACATAGGTAAAACAAAATTAATAGTGTGGTATCATGCTGTACTTGGACAAAGAGTCCCATATTTGGCAATACTGTTTTTGGTTAAAAAGTCCAAGACCACACAGGAGAAAACTTCTCCGTGAGCAAAATAATTTATAAAAACCTTATTTGATTTTCTGTGTCTAAGAGTAAACAAGATCTACTCATGTGAATATATCCTGTGCTAGAACTGTTAAAGAACATGTTCATATAAAAACAGTTCTAGATCAGCCTGCTACCTGCACACTTCAACAGTTCTTTTAGGATAACTGACAAAAACCTGAGTATGATCCTGACCACACAAGCGTTTTCTAGTAAGTAAAATGTTCATTGAACCACTGCAACCCTCCATTTAACAGATCCAAATTATATCAAGAAAGCCCTAAACCTAACAAAAAAAGATTTAAAGTTACTGATTTGGGGGAGGGGGGGCTGTTTTTCGAGACAGGGTTTCTCTTTATAGCCCTGGCTATCCCAGAACTCACTCTGTAGATCAGGCTAGCCTCCAACTCTCAAATCTGCCTGCCTGCTTCTGCCAATCCAGTGCTGGGATTAAAGGTTTGCTACCACCGCCTGGAATACTGAATTAATTTTAAGGAACAGCTTAAACCCATAACTCAGCAATATGGTTGAATATATTCACATGCTCAATTTATTTGCATGTATGCGAGAAAAAGAGGAAGGCAGGGAGGGAGGACCAAGGTATACGCGTGAGGGTCAAAAAGATAATTTGCAGGAGTCAGTTCTCTCCTACCATGAACGTCCTAGAGATCAACTTTAGGCCTTCAGAAATGGGGCTTTTCAGCAATCATCCCTTTCTGCTGAGTCTAACCAGCTTGTCAATTTTTAACAGTAACTTGAGCTTTTACCAGGTGTTTACAATTCTAAACTTAAGGACAATCTTATATAGAAGACTGCAGAGTTGGTATTCAGCCAACTATTCATCAATTGGCAATAACCAATTCAGTCTATGTAAAGTAAGTCACACGTAATTATTCTCACGTGTTCAAACCAACAGCGGTACAAACTTAGCTCTAGACACCTACTACATTAGGACAACCAAGAACAGTCTGTATATTTAATAAAAGAGAAACCAACAAGCTTTCAGTCGTGAATGAAATAGCTATAGCAAGTCGGCAGTGACCAGCTGCAGTGCATGCATCTCACACACACACACACACACACACACACACACACACACACACACACACACACACACACACACACACACACGGAAGGAAGCACAGATCCACCCCAGGAGACAAGTGCCATCATCCACTTGAACTGTCAAAAGTCAGCAATCTAGTTCAATTGCCACCTGGGAAGCTGCTTCAATGGCAGCTTATTTGACGATGGACAGAGGCCAAAATTTTGGTGCAGGACTGAAGCATATAGCTTGGCACCCAACCGCCTCCAAAACAACAGTGACAGTTTTAAAAAGTACCTTTCTACTGAGAATCTCAAAATTGACACATCTACCTTTATTTTTTCTACTAAACAAACAAAAATATCCCAACTTGGATGGAGGTCTTTCAGATATAAAGTAGTAAAAAAATGCTAGTCACCTTGCATGCTTCGCTAATCAGATAACCAGCTTACCAATCACCTTACTACACACTACACTTCTGGAGAGGTTTTTGTTGTTTAGGCTTTGGTAATTTCTTTTCCAATACAACCTCCAATTTGTACTGTCTAGAGATAAATACTACACAGCACTTTCAGCTGAATTTGAGCAGTTATTTAACTTAATTTGCTTACTTATTTTTGAGGCAGGATCTCACTCGAAGCCCTGGCTGGCCTTGAATTCAGAGATCTGCCTACCTCCACCTCTTAAGTGCCTGGATTAGAGGTGTGCACCACCAGGCCTGGCCCATTTTAACGTTGTTATAAGACTGGGAGGTTTCTTAAATGCCACTGTAACTTGTTTACATGAAAACTTTTCAGTTCGCCCTACCTGGCAAAATAAAGTTTACTTTTTGTTACACGTTCAAAAGTGGACCTAACCAGTTTACCAGCTTGAGAAACAAACTGGAGATTTAAGCTAACCAAGGGTACAGGAACATTTCGTTTACAGATGAAGTGAAAGTGGGTATTTTTAGCTAAAGCGTGTATTTCTGGCCAAAGGAACGTCTCTGTTTTCCTTTAAAACTAAAAAGCTGTCTTTAATTCTCCTCGCTCTTCTCTTGATTCTAACAGCTTTGATCCTCATAATATCCTATAATCAAGAAACAGGTTAAGTGACCATATTGATTTCTGCTCATGTTGACAGGGGATCATTATGGCCCCACTTCTTAGACCTCCATATACTTTAAGCCAATATTTTAAACAAGAATGGATTTTACATTAAGCAAGCAATTATGGAGATTTCATTACGCCAAATTAACATTTTCATCAGCTTTAGACTTTAGACATTTATCCATTTCATTTTGTGTTGATATTATTTTCATATGTATTTATCGTACAGTTTTGTTATATACAAATAGTTGATTCACCCACCAACTTTTTGTACACACCAAATATTACTCAGTTCTCTTTTGTGTTCATTAATTCTGGGTCCAAGTTTCCTGCATCTTTCTTGGCAGGTTTCAATTGTGTTTAAAGCACTGATTTCCCCTAGTACTTAAAACAGTGCATGCGGTTTACCTGTTTTCTTTTGGGCTGTTTGTTTCTGGAACATTGGGCAATGGGGGGGGGAGAAAGACTAATAGCTTGTATCTATTTCATTATGTAAGTGTTAAAAGTGTAACAAGCAGCAGCTAGAAGGGTGGAGTAAGTGGGCACAAGCAGGGCGACAGGGGACAGGGGTACGGGAGGGGTCCACTAGCCCCAACCACCCGGCTCGCCTCGTCAGAGAACCCCAGGATCCCGGCAAACTCCCGGCCTTCCCTCCGCTTCTGGCCGGACCCGGCTGGTGAAGCCGGCGACGCCGAGAAAAAGAGGACCGCAACCCTAAAAAAGCGTCACCGACGACTGAGTTCCGCAGCAGCCCTGGGCTCTACCCACCCTCCCGTACTGCTACCCGGAGTTTCTTTTGTGGGCACTAATTTTAGGCAATTTGGGAAAATAAGCAGCTGTCAAAACGGCGCGAGTCACCAGTGCCGGCGCGAGGTGGCTGAGGTGGCGCCCAGGGAGGGAGGGAGGGAAGGAAGAAGGAGGAGGGAAGGCACGGAGGGCTTCGGCTCCAGCTCTGCCGTTCCTTTGTTCCCCAATTTTCCGCCCGGTATTTCCGTGGCGGTCCTGGGTCACGCCGCTCGGAGGGACGCGGCGGCGCGGGGCAGCCGGGGCTCCAGCCGCTGCGCGGCTCCGGGACGCCAGGCCGGCCCGCCCGCCCGCCCGCACCTCGGCACGAGCGCCCGCCCGCACCGCCGCCCGCCGGCCCCCCTCACCTGCCGAGCCGCGCCGCGCCGAGACCTGGGCCGCGGCCGACTGAGCCGAGCGTCAGCGCCTCGCCAGCGCTCCCTTAGGTGGCCCGGGGCAGCGCGGAGCCCAGCTACTGCCGCCTCTCAAACCGGTTTCAGCTGCCCTAGACGAAACTGCCAGCCCACCCCCCACGGGGCGGGGTCGAAGGGCGGAGGGGCGGGGCCTGACGTCACGCCCGGTCTCGTCCTGGCCAATCGGCGTTCGCGCGCCGGGGCGGGGGCGGGGGGGTGGCCGGGCTGCACGGTCCTGGAAGGCGGGCCCAGAGAGCTGAGGGTGACCAGGGTCCCTTGCCCGCCGCCGCCGGGTCTGGCTCATCTAAGGACAGGAGGTCATGAGGGTGCGGCTGAAATCCCAGCCTCCGGGAGGTTGATCAGGGCAGGGAGATAGCGAGTTCAAGGCCAACCTGGGCTACGAAGGGAGCCCCTTGTCTCAAAAAGAAAGATGAGGGAGCTTGGTGTGTTCTGGAAACTTGCTTGCTTTCTTTCTTTTTTTTTTCTTTGGTTTTTCGAGACAGGGTTTCTCTGTGTAGCTTTGCGCCTTTCCTGGAACTCGCTCTGTAGACCAGGCTGGCCTCGAACTCACAGAGATCCGCCTGCCTCTGCTTCCTGAGTGCTGGGATTAAAGGCGTGCGCCACCACCGCCCGGCTGATAACTTGCTTTCTTTACAAAACAATCACACTTAGATCAAAACCCTAAAGCTGCTGGGCGGTGGTGGCGCACGCCCTTGATCCCTGCACTCAGGAGGCAGAGGCACGCAGATCTCTGAGTTCAAGGCCAGCCTGGTCTACAAAGTGAGTTCAAGAGCATCCAGGGCTGTTACACAAAGAAACCCTTTCTTAAAAAAACAAAACAAAAATCATTAAAGCTGAAACAAGGGCCTTGAGATAGCTCAGTGGATAAAGGTTAACCACCAAACTTAAGGACCTGAGTTCAACTCCTGGAACCAATAGGGTGGGAGAGACCCAACACCCTTTGACTTCTATAAGCCCTGCTGCCACAAACATCAAATAAATAAACCAGAGAGACCTTCCCTCTCCAGAGTTGTTCTTTGTTTTCTAAAACTATACTTCCTTCCCCCTACCCCTCTCCTTCTTGTTTTCCTCCAGCCCCTAATCAACCACTTAGGTAACTTGTAATGTAAAATGTAACCCGGTTTCACTTCAATTGAGACAGTAAACATCAAACAACCACCTTTTCCTTTGAAGGGCTGTACTTCATTTCTGTTAGTCATACTTCAGTGATGAAGCTTTTCAAGAGTCTACTTCCTTTAAATGTTTATATAGTAGATCTCTATTCTTCTGTAATCACCATTTAGTCAAGCTACTGTTGTGGAATATTTATGGCTAATGAGGGCAGACCTAACCCATGCCCCTCCCCAAATCCTCTTGAATTAATAACAACAAAACATCTGGGTCTGATGCAGTTCTGTAATTCCAGAATTCTGGAAGTTAAGTCAGGATTGCCACAATTTGGAGGCTAGCCTTGGCTGCATAGTGGATTCCAAATCAACTAGAACTACAGAACAAGACCTTGTCTCAAAACAGCAACAAAAATGGTTGGCCCAACACATCCATGAGTTCCACACTGGCAGATTCAAGCAATCACAGACAAGAAATAGGAAAACATGCATTTGTACTAAGCATAGCCTTTTTTCTAGCTAGTACAGTACAGGAAATACTTAAGAAGCATTTCCATTGTATTAGGTATAATAAGAAACTAATAGATGATTTCAGAATATAGGAGTATGCTGGGCTTGAGACACGGTTCAGTAGTTAAGAGTGCTTGTTCTTTAGTTACCAGCACCCACATGGCAGCTCACAACCTTCCTTAACTCCAGTTCAGGGGCTCCAATGCCCTCTTCTGTCTTCCAAGGGCACCAGATATCCATGTGATGCACACATACACATACATGCATACAACACACACACACACATATAAAATAAACCTAAAGTAACTTTTTAAAAACAGGGGATATGCTTTAGTTAGATGAAGATATTGCATTAATCATATAAGGAACCTGGGCATTTGGGCATCCTCGTTGAGTCCTGCAACCAACCCCTACAGACTCTGAGGAATAACTGCATACACATTTGAAGGATGGCCTAGAGCCAGAAACTGAGGGATTCTGCAAGATAACTAGCCAGTAACAAGAGATGATTTACAAAGGAACCTGAATCCACACAGGTGAGGAAGGGGTTCCTGGGAACGTTGTATAGTCCTGCTGAAATGAGTGATAAATGGCGCTAGTTACCACGAGAAAAGGTTATGAGGCCCGGCCACGACTACTTAGTAGCAGAGAGCTTAATTAGGAAGAAGAGGGGTGGGGGGAGAAGAACCAGGCCTGGGGGAGAGAACAGAACACAGAGAGAGGGTGGAGTCTGAGTCACTGCTCTTTAAGGCACAGGTGGACCTACAGAGCTACACCACGCATGCGCTGATTGCGTGACCACGCCTCAAGCATGTAGTCGCCAGTACACACTGATGACATAAGACGCAAGACCTTTTGCTTTACTCCTGAACTGCGCATGTGCAGTCATGCAGCTGGAGTGAGGGCAGAATTCTAACACCTGCCTTGAAACTCTTTGATAGCATCATTTATTCCAATCACAATACTAGTCTGCCACCATCAATCCTAAAACAAGACCTGGCAGTGTGCTCCCTCTCCATGTGAGGGACATTATAATCCCACGAACACATTTTTCATGAGATTAATTTGAGGATTAACTTTATTATTACCAAAAGGGCACTGAGCACGTTACATTTCACAAAAATACTTAACATTTCCCATTTTACTTGATTAAATAATGAAATGTATTTTGGATTGTCTGGAATACACACACAATCTCATTTTGCATGTTCATTTTTAAACGTGTTCATGGGAAAAGTTCTCAATTTAGGAACTAGGCCTGGATTTGTGTTCTGCCCATCTCTGTCTGTGACATTACAAATATAAATCTTCAGTAAAAGATTTATTGCTACTAATGAATTTTGACTGACAATTCCAGGAAGCCTGTTTACTCTCTTAATTTCCTAGAGGTGGGGTCAGGCTGTTTGGTGCTAAACTGCTCCAGTTTCAGTTACTCAAATCAGTTTTATTTGGTTCAATTTTTCATATGCATTTTAACATGAAAATAACTTAATGTTGACACTAGCTTTAAACAAACCACCAATTATTGCTCCTACTATTGTTAGTGGCCTTTTGTGGCTACTATCTTACTGAGTTTAATATTGCAAGACTGTATTTTTGTCACAAATACTGATTTTTCAGATGTGTAAGTATGTATGTGTGTGTGCCTGTGTGTATGTATTGTGTGTGTGCCTGTGTGTGTGTGTATGTACTGTGTGTACCTGTGTGTGTATGTATATATATATATATATATATATATATATGTGTGTGTGTGTGTGTGAGTATGTATTGTGTGTGTGCCTGTGTGTGTGTGTGTATGTGTGTGTGTGTGTGTGTGTATGAGTGAGTATGTATTGTGTGTGTGTTTTTCTTCCTTGGCAGTTATGGTTACTATCATCTTTGTTTTGTGTGCATTTTTTTCCCTAGAAGTATTGTGGTTTAGATATAAGACTGATACTGTCCCACATTCCACTATAGTTCTACTATCAGCATATTTATCATGCTCCACGTTATCAGTTAAGTGGTTTGTGTACCTCGTGGTGGCTCTGCTACTCCAAGGAGTCCTAAATCATAGCCTTCACTGTGGAATGCGTCTTGTAGGTCAAGGCCTTTTGAACTTCTAATGCTCATGACCTATGCTTACTTAAGAGTTTTACAAGACCTGGAGTATAAAATAGGTGAACAGGTTCTGCCAATGTGTAGGGAGGTAAGGAGTCCAGCCACATACTCCCACCACCCAGGAGCCACCTACCTATGGCTTTCCTCTATAAGGGGCTGTATCCCCTCACATTGCAAGTCAAAACAAATCCTTCTTTCCTAAAAAAATAAAATAAAAACTGGACAGTCGTGGTGCACACCTTTAATTCCAGCACTCTGAGTTTGAGGCCAGCTTAGTCTACAGAGAGAGTTCCAGGACAGCCAGGGATACAGAGAAACCTTGTCTCAAAAAAAAAAAATAAAATAAAATAAAATAAAATAAAATAAAAAGTAAAGTAGCTATAAAAATCAAACATTTATTGGCAATAAAGCATAAAGTAATTTATTTTAAAATAACTCTTTGGTATACATATATTTTTACTATTTATGAAAGACAGGTGAAAATTTGTTTATTTTTACATAAAGATTTACTCTTGAGCTGAGCATAGTAGCACACACTCCAGAGACAGGTGGATCTCTGTGAGTTTGGGGCCAACCTGGCCTACATAGAGAATTCCAGGATAGCCGGATCCAGGTAGAGAAACCCTAGCTCAAAACAAAACACAACAAAAAACAAAAAACAAACAAAACCGAGAGAATTAAATTTTGCCCAGGCCTGATAGCACAATCTTGCTACTTGGGAGAGTCAGCTGAGGCAGGAAAATTCCAAGATCAAGGCCTGAGGGGCCTGTAAAGTAAGTTCAAGGCCAGCTTGAGCAACATAGTAAGACCTTGTCTCCAAAGACTTCAGGAGACACAGCTCAGTGGTAGAGTGCCTTCCTAGCACATGCATGGCCTTAGGTTCAACTCTAAGTACCACAAATAGATAACCCCAACAAAACTTGGCTGAACTTCGAAACCACAGGATATAGAGTAGCTTAACATTTCTCAGAGTTTATGGATATTTTAATTTTATTATTGCCCAGCTGAGAACACTTTTCTTAGTATGTTTACATGTGTGATATATGTGATATGTGTTTATAAGTATGCATATATCATAGCACACGTGTGTAGTTCACTCTGCTGCTAAGCTGTGTACTCCAGGCTAGTTGACCATAAGCTTCTCCACCATTTTTCTTTCTCTTCCATCTCTCCCTAGAAGTACTAGGATCACAGATGCCAACCACCCATCTGGCTTTCTTTAATAAAAAAAAAAAAAAAAGAGTATCGAAGATCAAACTGAGGTTACCAGGCTTGTGCAAGGCCACGGAGTCATTCCCTGGATTTGGTCAGCTATGGTGGTACACTCTGTAAGCCTAGCACCTGAGAGGCTGGGGCAATAGGATCAGAAATTCAAGGCCATTCTTGACTAC